AACTATATTATTGTTGACATCAATATGTAAACTATATTATTGTTGACATCAAGCTGTAAACTATATTGTTGTTGACATCAATATATAAACTATATTATTGTTGACATCAAGATGTCAACTTTATAATTGCTGACATCAAGATGTCAACTAGATTTACCGAAACAAATTTTCTGTGATATCCTGTGATATGTGTAGTAGGTCAGAACTAACAGATTAAAACTGAATGTTAGATCACTTGTGTTAGATCACTTGTATCAGCACAGCTGCTCAGTCGATAGCCGACCACAACATGGCCAGTAATCGATACATTCTTTATCTCGAGTATTGATTTCAGATTTCAGATCGATTCCTTGGTCCACAATTCTTCTAGCAGTATAAAGCAACTCACGGCTGGCCTTCATGCACGGCCATAGCTAGATTTGGGGGCAATTTTTGATGGAGGGGGTGGTTGTGGTGGCGAGTTTGGTGGAGAGTGGTTGTGGTGGGTGGTTGTGCTGGAGAGTGGTTGTGCTGGAGAGTGGTTGTGGTGGAGAGTGGTTATCGTGGGTGGTTGTGGTGGTGGTGTTTGTGGTGGAGGAGGGCAGTGGTGGAGCTACGATGAACATATCGCCGTCCTATGAACAAAATGAACTATTTTTAATGCCCGTCTGTTTGGTTGTCCTGTAGCTCCAGGTATTTAATTATGTATGTGTGTACGCTAGGGGTACAGTTTGGTTGTCCTGTAGCTCCAGGTATTTAAATTAGGTACTCCAAACGGATTTTTCAAATCAGTCACACAATAATGGCTTTGGTTTTTCTGCATAGTACTAATAATTCTAAGAACATGGATACCAACTTTATGTCTGTAGGACAATTAGAAAAAAAGTTATGCGCTTAAGAAACACGCGTTTTTTTTTTACCTTTTACGGCCTCATGAGGACCCGACTTTAGCACCGATTATCTCAAAAACTATAGCAGCTATATCCATTATCTAACTTAATTCCAATAAAAGAGTAGATAGATTGAAGTCTCAATTTTTTTCAAACTAGTATAACAAGTTAAAGATAAACGTTTTTTGTCTTAAAAATCGTACTACACCATATTTACCAAAAATTTGACAGGGCGAAAAAAAACTAAAAAATCACCAACTTTCACAAAACCACTAAAATTCTTCTATTGCATGCACAATAATCACCTTTATATCGATTTAAAGGGAAAAATGTTACCTAATTATGTAAATTAAATTGAGTGCTATAAATCATGCAGTTAAATGTCCAGATTTGAGAAAATAAGGTGGGGGTGAACATTTTATACCTCAACACGGCTTTAAGTCCGTTTTTTTTAATTGACAAAGAATTACTAAAACTTAACAGATATATAGAAAAAGTTATTTATTTGTAACTACAGTTAATCTACATTTAAAAAGAAACATTCTCAGTGAAATAATTTAGTGTTAGATCGCTGAAAAACGTTAATAAAAATGCACGATTTCAGAATTAGAATTATGTATATGTGTACGCTAGGGGTACAGTTTGGTTGTCCTGTAGCTCCAGGTATTTAATTATGTATATGTGTACGCTAGGGGTACAGTTTGGTTGTCCTGTAGCTCCAGGTATTTAATTATGTATATGTGTACGCTAGGGGTACAGTTTGGTTGTCCTGTAGCTCCAGGTATTTAATTATGTATGTGTACGCTAGGGGTACAGTTTGGTTGTCCTGTAGCTCCAGGTATTTAATTATGTATATGTGTACGCTAGGGGTACAGTTTGGTTGTCCTGTAGCTCCAGGTATTTAATTATGTATGTGTACGCTAGGGGTACAGTTTGGTTGTCCTGTAGCTCCAGGTATTTAATTATGTATATGTGTACGCTAGGGGTACAGTTTGGTTGTCCTGTAGCTCCAGGTATTTAATTATGTATATGTGTACGCTAGGGGTACAGGCAGAGGATCAATGAGCATTAGGAGGGGGGGGGGGGGTAGTTATAGAGCCGAAGAAACAATTCTTCAGAAAATATTAGTTGAGATCCACGCTAGATAGTGTTATTACATTTGCTAACCCCACTAAAAATAGTTTAATTGGATTTTCATCAATTTCATACCCGACTCAACATGATTGCTAGATTTGTTTTAATTTACCGAGAGCTTAGTAGTTATTTATCTAGAGCTTAATTATTAATATTGAGCTTAATTATTTATCTAGAGCTTAATTGTAATGTATCGAGATCCTAATTTATCTAGATCTCAATTGAAATTTATCTAGAACTTAATTTCTTATATCAAGTACGGAATTGTAATGTATCTAGATCCTAATTATAATTTATCTAGAGCTTAATTGTTGTTTATCTAGAGCTTAATTGTAATATGTATCTAAATCCTAATGTATCTAGATCCTAATTCGAATGTATCTAGATCTTAATTTTAATATATCAAGTAATTATCTAGCTAGAGCTCAACGGTCATTTGACTCTTAACACGTAACATTGAACGCTATTAAAATTAAACTGATAAACTTGTGGGGGGGGGGGGGGGAAATCAACAGCAGATGATTTATTGTAAATCTAATTTGCCAATGGGCCGAAAGGGCGCCACTAGGGTGCAGCTGTTCCAAACATTAAGTCAAGAGTTGAACAAAGAACCCTTGTACGGTTATGTAAGGCTGTCTGTACGGTAATGTACGGCTGTCTGAGGGCGTGTCGGCGACACGTAAGTCGTGAGGTGTGTAGGTTGAAACAAGCGGCTTCTTGTGGACACACAGCTTTAGGCGTGTTTCACTGGGGGGCGGGTGGTGGGTGGTGGGGTGAACTTTACCGGAAATGCAATCTGTTGACAAGCAGTCCGTACATGGGTAGGGTGGGGTGAGGAAAGGTGCAGAATGTTTGGGCTTTAAGATTAATCTGAACTGAGAAAGGAATATGCTGGAAAACACTGGTGTGGGTAGACATACCTCGATACTTAGTCCTACATTGATTTGAATACAGGCCTTACCTTGTGTGAACATAATAAAATAGACCAGGATCGTGTGTGTGTGTGATTGTGAACAGTTTCTTTCGGGGGGGGGGGGAGTTATGTCCCCTGGACCAAATGGAATTTATTATACTTATACTAAATAAATAATATATGCTTCAACCAGTGTCCACCCCCCCCCCCCCGGGAGGAAAACGTCTGAAAGAAAAACGGCAGACAAATGCCCTCTCCCCTAACTGATGCGACAGTCCTACCGTACTTACATATCACAAAGTTTGTTACAATCTCTAACCATACTGTCTCGTAATGTTGTTGTGAAGGGGGTGGGGGTGGCTCACTCAAATGTCATATCATGTGGGGTCCATACAAGCGTATGTTATGTGATAGGTTGGTGGGGGTGGCTCACTCAAATGTCATATCATGTGGGGGTCCATACAAGCGTATGTTATGTGATAGGTTGGTGGGGGTGGCTCACTCAAATGTCATATCATATGGGGGTCCATACAAACGTATGTTATGTGATAGGTTGGTGGGGGTGGCTCACTCAAATGTCATATCATGTGGGGGTGGCTCACTCAAATGTCATATCATGTGGGGGGTCCATACAAACGTATGTTATGTGATAGGTGAGCGGGGAGGGTTAATCAATGTCCAGTATTTATGTCATAATAAATTATAATAATGCGCACGATCGCTTAGCAAGAAACGTTAGGTGCGCTCAAGTGGGAAGCAGTTACTAACTTGAACGTCATAAAAATAGATGAACTAAGTTATTAAAACTCCCTTTGGAACACCCCCCCCCTCCCCGTGACGCATCAAGTCACCTGACTAGTTCACATGCATGAACGTGAAGTGGGATTTTTTAACGGCGAATTAACGGTTAGGATCGCCGTTCGTACCTCGAGGCTCGTCGTAAAGCTTATCTAGAGGCTGTGTACTTGAACGCTTAATGAGACTGGTCTAAAATATCATTAATTAGTCGACACCAATTAAAGTTCAGTTTAAAAACGGCAAGTAGACAGAAATTGTTAAAAGTTTAGCAGACTGAAAGTATATGACTTGACCCACGTAAGATAGGCGTCGCAAGGCGGGGGTGCGGACAGCACCGGGAGACACCATTCAGGGGGGGGGGGGTGGCACCAAGACGAAAAATTGCAAAATATATCGAAGATGAATGCTTTTTGCCTGTTTGGTTAATGAATAATTAGAGTTTGAAAGTCTAATTGACCATCTCGACAATACATACAGACACATACCCCTCCCCCCCTCACCGAAAAGATCCCTGGAAGAAACTCCACACGTGACCACCTACAATCTACTTTTTACATTCAGTTTGTATTTCAAAACGTTTCTAGTCCACATATCGGTGTTTAATTCATTTCGATTCCAATCTATTTTTCAGGAGCAATATGTTTTAGATAATAAGGCCTCGTTGTTAGCTGTTATTGTAAGTCGTAAGCTACATTCAGGCTAGGCCCACACTGCATTGTTTAGTCAAAATACCAGGATACCGAATGGCAGAGTGTTGTATCTTAAATATCACTGTATTTAGTGCGGTATGGTCCCCATACACGTAACACGAGAGTGTAATGACGTCAAACTGTCTTGAACAATCACGTGATACTTGACTAAAACCCGCCTATTGTTCTGCTAGACTCATCTGCTATAATGTCTGCATTCATTTTGATGTCAGCTAGAATCTAGGTCTCAAATTCCACAATTTGTGAATATTTTGTATCACTCCCAATTTCTAAATATTTTGTCTCCTTCACAATTTGTGAATATTTTTTGTCTCACTCACAATTTGTGAATATTTTCTGTCTTCCTCACAACTTGTGAATATTTTCTTTCCTCACGATTTGTTAATATTTTCTGTCTTTCTCACAATTAGTGAATATTTTCTCTTTCTCACAATTTGTGAATATTTTCTGTCTCCCACACAATTAGTGAATATTTTCTGTCTCCCACACAATTAGTGAATATTTTCTGTCTCCCACACAATTAGTGAATATTTTCTGTCTCCCACACAATTAGTGAATATTTTCTGTCTCCCACAGACTCCGTGTCAAACAAGAGCTCCAACCCCAGCGAATACGGATATATTTATAGCGCCGAGCGGCCCAAGCCTCCAGCAGAAGTCGGCTGGTCAGACAAGCAGACAGACAGCCAGAAGGTCAACCTCTACAGCGAGAACGTCGTCAAGGAAGGGGAGACGACCGAGGCCGTCGATCGGGAATCTATTGCCAACCTGTCCACCACTAAAAAACAGTGGGAGACCATATTTACGTCCCATGATTCCACCAAGGGAGAGAGTACTTTGAAAAAGAAATCAACGCCCAAGTGGGAAGTACGTCTGCCGTACAAGGAAAAGCCTTCAGCCCCGGCTGTGTCCAACCAAGAGACGTCCCCAGATCAACAGCGCAGTGAACCTGTGGTCATGGCATCCAAACCTCAGGACACTGAGAGCGCCATTGATAGAGAGATCAGACTTGCACACGAGCGAGAGGAAATGTTACGGAAAGAAAAAGAACAGAGACAAAAGATGGCGGAAAAACAGCCGAAAGGTCAGGGTCAGACAATAATAGCCTCGTATGAAGCAGTGAGCGCAGAAAGTGAGGCGTATCAGCCGGCATACAATGAGTTGACTGAGGCAGACAGAGGACCCGAATTGTGGAGGGGAGGAACTAATGGGAGGGATGAGGACGAGGAGGAAGAAGAGGTAAACTTGGCTCATTAAAAAATTAATTGGAAATTATTTGGTGATAAAAGTTTTAAAAAATGTTTTTTTTTAAAAAAAACGAACTAGCTCGGGGTATTATTATTATACATGGCAACATGTTCTCTCATTCTACCTTTAGTAACGTATTTTAGTTATGTTGAATATATAATGTGCATATTATGTGCGTGTTCTCATTCTATTTTGTTCAACATTTTTCAAAGATCCCCGGGTGAGATTTTTTAGTCTTTATTTCTTGAAGTCAAGGTTAGTTATACATGTTTTCAAATTTTCTGATCAAAGTCTTCGCTCTTTTAGACAGAAGAAGACGTCAACCCAAATGAAAGCATCATTGAAAGGGAGATAAGGCTCCAAAGGGAAAGAGAAGCAGAGATAGCCAAGATGAGACAACAACAGGGCAAACCAAATCATCAAGGGGAACAACACAACAAACCACACCACGAAGAGGTGAGAGATGGGGGCTGATAATGCTTTAGTTCACTTTTTTTTTTGTAGACATCATCTCTAGGTAGGCATCAAGTTTTGTAGACATCATCTCTAGGTAGGCATCAAGTTTTGTAGACATCATCTCTAGGTAGGCATCAAGTTTTGTAGACATCATCTCTATGTAGGCATTAAGTTTTGTAGGCATCATCTCTATGTAGGCATTAAGTTTTGAGGACAACTTTTTCTAGACATAATTTTGTAGCCATCAATGTTTGGTAGTTATCAGCACAGTATGCTATTATAAGCTATTATAAGTCTTTGAAACCCATATTATTTATTTTGACTTGAACTAATGAAACCCATATTATTTTGACCTGAACTAATGAAACCCATATTATTTTGACCTGAACTATTGAAACCCATATTGTTTATTTTGACCTGAACTAATGAAACCCATATTATTTTGACCTGAACTAATGAAACCCATATTATTTTGACCTGAACTAATGAAACCCATATTGTTTGACCTGAACTAATGAAAGCCATATTGTTTAGACCTGAACTAATGAAACCCATATTGTTTTGACCTGAACTAATGAAACCCATAGTTTAATTTGACCTGAACTAATGAAACCCATTTTGTTTTCACCTGAACTAATGAAACCCATATTGTTTTGACCTGAACTAATGAAACCCATATTATTTTGACCTGAACTAATGAAACCCATATTGTTTTGACCTGAACTAATGAAACCCATATTGTTTTGACCTGAACTAATGAAACCCATATTATTTTGACCTGAACTAATGAAACCCATATTGTTTATTTTGACCTGAACTAATGAAACCCATATTATTTTGACCTGAACTAATGAAACCCATATTGTTTATTTTGACCTGAACTAATGAAACCCATATTATTTTGACCTGAACTAATGAAACCCATATTGTTTTGACCTGAACTAATGAAACCCATATTGTTTTGACCTGAACTAATGAAAGCCATAGTTTATTTTGACCTGAACTAATGAAACCCATATTGTTTTGACCTGAACTAATGAAACCCATATTGTTTTGACCTGAACTAATGAAAGCCATAGTTTATTTTGACCTGAACTAATGAAACCCATATTGTTTTGACCTGAACTAATGAAAGCCTCTCCTGCAGGTGAGTGACGTGAACCACAACCACAAGACACATGAAGAAGAGAGTGGAGAGAGTTTGATTGCCAGGGAGCTACGAGAACTCCGAGAACGAGAGGAAGAAATGAAAAGAATGAGGAGTAACTTCCAGGGTGTTCACATCAACGATGAACTGGACGGCAGAGGCCAGTCCAGCTTGGCAGAGCACAAACCTACCAGTTTGGCTGTCACAAGCCACATTTCCTCCCAGCGCACTCCCTCTCCTGGCCACGGCACCTGGCAACGTGATGTCTCGCCATTTGTGTCACAAAAACGTCGAGGATCCCAAGACTCAAACTCCAGTCAAAGCACTGGACGCACACCATCAGACAGCACACCATCCCGCAACATCCGCGTGCAGCCCATCCTTGATGATGGGGACAAGGAAGAAACAAAAGATTACTTCAAGAAACAGGAGACTCCCATAGAGCGGGAGATGAGACTGGCTAGGGAGAGAGAGAACGAACTGCGGCGCAGCAAAGGACTTCCAGAACTGACTCCTGACAACGATGACTTCTACAGCTCCTATAGTCCTGGTCAAGAGCCCAGTGACAATGGCTCTGTGTCCAGACCTCGCTCTACTGGTCAACCTGGCGACTCCATGAAAAAAATTGCTTCATCTCGCCTGCAGCAGGAGCTGATGCAGCAGAAAGAAAGGGAGTTGGCCTTGAGAAGTGAGGGCAAAATTCTCTCCACATCAGAAGAACACATTGAGCCTTTAAGGTACACAGACATAGCTGGGGTTGAGAGAGCTGATGGGAAGGAGAAAAGAAACTTTGTCACCAAAAGATCATCAGTTATTTATACAGAACCTGAATCAACCCTCCCACAGGAAGTGACATCACCAAACTCTCAGCCAACCAAAAAATTAGGAGCAGCTGCAGGTGGACAGTTATTTTCCTACAAGGAGTTTAAGCAGACGGCAGAATCCAAAATTGAGAGGGAGCTGAGAGAGATGAGAGAGAGGGAGGAAGAATTGAGGTAAATTTTAAAACTCCCATTCCCTAGCAGCTACTTAATAGATTAACTTGTCTGCATGTGTTACATGGGCTCGGAGAGAAAGAAATCCTTTCAAGTTGTTTAATCTGTTTGTTTGAAATATTTCCAAAAGAAACATTTGTGGACCAGTGAACTTGATACATGTGTAAATGTTACAGCCAATAGAGTTTGACACAATAATACTTTTTTTTACACTAATCATTGTCTTATAATGTTATCCTTACAAAAAGATAACTTATTCAACATTTTAATCTCTTTAAATTGTGTACTTTCAGAAAACAAAGGAAAGAAAATACTGGTGATTCACCGAGATAGATCTGCTGTAAAACAGATGTGTATTTAAGGACTGAAAAATGAAAGCTAGAAATAATCTGAAAGCTCTAGTGCCTTTCTGGTTGTCATGGTGATAAATGTTGCTTATTTATTCATGAGAAGACAATGGGGAATACCTTAGTTGCCACCAGGATAAACAACTTCAGCACTAAACTTTGGTCCAGCATGTGAGAGTGATTGTTCTGGTGACTGTGTTTATTTATTCCCTCGCTAGTCTTTAACATGTGTGGTGTCACCATGTTGTGTGGTGTCACCATGTTGTGTGGTGTCACCATGTTGTGTGGTGTCAACATGTTGTGTGATGTCAACATGTGTGGTGTCAACATGTTGTGTGCTAGAGAAAACATCCCAGGGTGTCAACATGTTGTGTGCTAGAGAAAACATCCCAGGGTGTCAACACAACTCACTGCAGTGGTTCCATCAACAGTTTGTTCACATTTAGCTTTAGTAGATCTTGTATTGTTAAGATATTGTTTATGATAAATGAGCATTTATTTAAAGTTAGCAGCCTTTATAATTACAGAGAAAAAATAATTTTTAGAGGATCAGTGTAACTGTATCATATTTACTTAGGATTTAGTTACAAAGTAGTTTGTTTGCTCTACAACAGTGTTGTGTTCTAGCAGTATAAATGTGTACTTTATTTACTTGACAATACAAGACAATCTTACTGCAATCAACTGAACTATCACGGATTTTTGTCCTAGAATGATAGTAATATTTACAGTTTGAACAAATTTGTTCTTTTTTTTTATGTCATAAATTTTAAAGAGTTAACAAATTTTATATGAGTTGGTTCAGTTTAAAATAATTTTTGCAAATATATTTTTTTGTTAATTGTTGCATTTAGTTTGAGGATGTAAAAAAACTGGCCAGTTGTTTTGAATTTGTTGTAACTCTGTAGCAATGTGTCCCAGCCTCACATAGCATTTATCTCAACCTCTCTAAGTTACATGACGTAATGGGAGCTGCAGTGAACTCCACTATTCCCATAAGGAGTGTGTAATTAGTTGTTCCTTATTTGATTACCAACATAAGTTTTTTACACTTGGTAACATTGTGTGCCAGATATATATTTATGACTATATAACAGAGAAGTGATTTTGCTATATGATTAATTTTTATAACATATTTGAGATTTTTGAGGAACAATATAATTACAGCAAAAAAAAAAAATGCATTAAAAATGATTTATGTTGAAGTATATATGTATGATGTAGTTTATTTATTTAAATATCTTTTATACATTAGCCAAAGTAATCAGATAAAAAAATGTTGAGATTGAAGTGATTTGTGAATATTGTAAACCTGCTACAATATGAGGTCACCAGGCAAATGGTTTAAAGCTTATTACATAAAGCACAACTGTATTGTCTAAAGTTTAAGTTTATAGAGGATTTTAATTATCACTTTTTATAAATACTAATGTGTATCAGTTATATTAGGCTAGAAAAGTTTTGTAATTTGAGCAATCCATTGTCAGCCTACAGCTGTACGTGTCAGCCTATATGTGCATGTAGAGAAGACCAATTAACTGATAGGTTATCAGTGGCTGTAGTCCAGACTGAGATCTGTTATCTGTTCTACAAACTGACTTTTTAAAGGCCCTGAATGAGGCCAGTTGTGTCACTCATGTTGTACCAGTCATTAGGGATCATCCATTTATGACGTCCACACGGGGGGGGGGGGGGGGGGGGGGAAGGGGGGTCCGAAAATAAAGACTTTTGCGGACGCATATGGACTTTTATAAGGGAAATAATTGGATTTTTGTGGACGGGGGGGTGGGGGGGTGGGGGGCAAAATTTTTTAAAAATGTGGACGTCATAAATGGATGACCCCTTAGACATTATTGGAGAGTTGTTGCATTTATTTAGTCACATGATTGTTTCTATTCCCCACCCTCCTAATGAGTGTGAAGAATATCCTTGTATTTATCAAGAAAACATAACTCAAGAGATCCTGACATAATACTGGCACTTTCATCAGAGCTTGCAAATCAACAAGTTGTTCAAAAACTTTGTTTTAACAAAATATGGACAGAACTTTTATAATTTCTATGGTTGCTCTTGAGTTATTTTTTTATGTACCTTTATATAATAAAATATTTGGGCCTAAACTTGGTACATTTTTAAAAGCATTCACCACAAGCATAGTTGTTTCTGGTGTCACCACAAGCACATGTGTGCTACTGGTGTCACCACAAGCACATGTGTGCTACTGGTGTCACCACAAGCACGTGTGCTGATTGGTATTCAAATTAGTTGTATATCAGATACATTCCAGTAGAACTGTTGTTTTTTCTACTTATTTGATTTACAGATTTACAAACCTCTACATTCCAATAGTTTTTATATTGAGTGCCTTTGTTTAACTTTTTGTGTATGTCTCACATTATGCCCAATAACTTAGTAGAATCATATCACAACTATAATTATTTATATTTACATATATATCTAAATGGAATATTCAACTACCAGCATCAATTACAAGGAAAACAGATTACTTTGATGGCATCAGATTAATACAATACTAAGTTTGTTAATACTTTGAGCAATAAAAGATAAACAATACTGTTCTTCTCGTTTTTACTATGTATATTATTTAAAACAAACAAAACAAACATTACTATCATGTAAAAGTGGGCAGACAAAATACGAACAAGATGAGGAATCAATTTTTGTAGACATTTGCAATGTATGTATGATGAATGTAACAAAGTCAACTAACAAATGGTACAGCCAAAACAGCTGCAGCCAAACTTACATTGGCAACAGTTCTCATCTCAGCCAAAGTCCCAGTGGGCAACTGAAATCTCTGAGCCAACAAAACTTCACATTTGTCTGTGTCCTCCACAAGCTGCCTGCTGCTACCAAACAACATGATCATTTCATCCCTGACTAAAACAGATCCCACATAGCAGTGCTGACACTCTGCCTCACAGACTGTGGTGTGGGACTGTGTGGCAGGCAGCAGGGTGTGGATATAAAACTTGCCCTCCCCTCTGGAGAGGCTGAAAAAGCCAGCAGTGTTGTTTGGGTCAGGGTAAAGTGCAACAGGTACATGTGGGCTGGGTGCTGTCCATGTGCTGGTGGTCCAGCACTGAAGCTGTGGCTGGTAACAGTGCAGGCCCCAGCTCCTGTCCAGGAAGTAGATGGAGTGATGCACCACTGTCACCACTGGGTTGATTTCATGGACTGGCATGGCTGGCAGGTTGTCCCAGCTCCCTGATACAACAGTTGATTCACATCTCATAACTTTATTCACTTCTTATGGAGACATGTTGTGTGTAATAATCAAAATGTTTGCAATTTTTTTTTATGTACAAACAACATATAACATGATGTTAGCTTCTAAAATAAGATGTGTTTTGTGAATTTTAAAAACACTGTTATAACAAATGATAACTAACTCATTGAAAAAAGGGACAGGGGTGAAATGGTAGAGCCTTCAACTGCTATCCTGAAAGTCATGAGTTCGGATCACAGACTCCAGTTTTTCTAGGATGTTTCTGAGGAAAACATAAGGCAACTGGGCATAGTGCTGACCACACCATCCCTTCATTTGCCAAAGCTGGGAAACATGAACTCTACTTCATCTGCCCTAAGGATTATTATGTGTGTAAGGGGAACTTACTCATGAAAAAGCTAATGGTGAAGCAGTCAATTGAATAAAGAATGTGAGGACATTAGTTCCTGAATGTGTTTCCTGGTCATAAACTAAGAGCTGAGATGGGACTGTGAAATGACAGTGTCTGAGACTCCTATGGGACAACAGAAAACTATGTACTAAGTAAGCCATCAATAAACTGTGTTCTATTGGACTGATAAACTTACTAGAACCAACTTTGGCTTACCAGTTTGTAGATCAAAGCTTTCTAACTTGCTGTTTTTCATACGAAATTTGCCAAAACCTCCAAAGATATAAAGTTTGTTTTCAACAGCTACCATTGAGTGATGCCTGCGAGTTTCTTCCAACACTCCAACACTTGTCCATCTTTGTGAGCTGGGTTTAGTTGGATCAAATTTCCAAATCTTTCTAATCCAGTTAACACCACCAAACTTTGGACCACCTCCACATAAATATACATAGGGACCTGCAACACAAAAATTGAAAATTAATTGTAAACAATTTTAAGAACATGATTTAACAAAATAGTTATAGACAAATATAAAATACCAAAGAAAACAATAATAAAATTTAAAAATAATCTCTCAGTTAAAATGCCAATACTATGAATCAAGATAAAATTACTAACTACACTGCCTCATTATGAAGGGCATTAACTAATTTTTACACTCACATTATCTGATTAAAATATTGGCATTTTTTTTTTTGGAATGACTAATCCTAATATATCCTCAATATGGTTATGAAAATATATTTACCCAGACAGCATAAAGCAGAGCCTAAATCATACCCTGGATTTTGTTCAACATCAGTCATGGTGTCAAACTTGAAGCCCTCTAATGATTCACCAGATAGCTGGGTGACGTCAACAAGACCCTCCTCCACTGTTGTGTTAAGCTTGGACCAAAATAGAAGCACATTGTGGTGTTTACTTCTTTCTTGCAAGCTATTCTGGAGGGGAAGGAAGAATTTAAAACAATGCACATTACAAAAATCTCATAAGTTTTATTTAAATGATAATTCTTCTTTTCAAACAGTTGGCCTAAAGATTTAAAAATTAGTATATTATTTTAATCTAAAATTTTAATTTATGATTCCTTTTAACTTTTCCTTACCAAAGCCAAATTATAGTCTTTGTTGTCCTCCATAAAGTTACCACTGATGATACAGTTGATGACACTGTCAAGAGCTTTGTTGTCTTCTTTCATAGAAACACAGGCGGTCACAACATTTTGGAGAGTCAATTTATCAACTTGATTTGTTTTAAACCAGGCATTTAATGCTTTCATCACTGAAACCTCAGAGTCCACCACCAAACTCTTCTCAGACAAATAATCACAGACTTCACCAGCAGTCAATGATAAAAAGGAATTTCTGTTCTTTAATTCCATAAAATGGGTTAAACTGAACTTCTTTGAAACATTGAATATTTCAGTTAAATAGCTGGAGTTGGAGCTACTGAAGTTGATTATATCAAAAACTGAATCAAAGTCAATCATATCTTTCAGAAAATCCATACATTGTGAATGAAGTCCTGAGCTCAAAATTAAAACTTGAGCTGTCTCGATGATACCAAAAATATTTTCCTCCGTTAGGTTTAGCTTACTTGTATAAAATCCCTCAATAATTATTCTAAATGCTTCAGGATTTAACATATGCAAGGTTATGACGTCTCTTGTATTTTCTATCATCTGTGATGAAAACATAGCTCTAAAATAGTCACTACACTGTACAAGAGTATCTTTGTGAACATCAAACTGATGTGATTCAATAAGTATGGACAGGTTAGTTGGTTGATCAGCATAGATATCTGCAGACCAATGCACTGTAGTATTGGATTGATTTACTATTTGATTTTTTACTGAAGATTTTATTTCCATCATGATTTCTTTTCATCACTTTTTGGATAAAAATTGATTTTGTCTTTTGAAGATTTGAGATTTTTCCCCACTTCCTTCTCTTGAGTTTTCTTTTTTTTACCTACATAATTTAATGCTGTGTGCTGTACTGTATACTATTCAAGATTAGGCTGTAAAATTGTAAATAATTAGATCTATTAGACTAGTTACCATGACAATAGGTAGATCTATTCTTACTTCTTGACCTTAGCTGCAAAAGCAAGATTTAGAACTTAGTTGTGCAGATGACTAGAGACACTGTCTCTTCATTTAAGTTACTGGGACTTGAGCTGATCTCATTGCCAGAGTTTCTTCCAGGCATCCTTTCGAACAAAATGGAATTTATCTAGAAAATATAATTTTAACAGTGTCCACCCCCCCCCCCCCCCCGCTTGGAGAAAAATACCTGAAAGAAACACTGCTCACACTGAAGCTCTTACTTTTTATGGAAATTTTAAATGTGGGCCTTAAGCCTAATTAAATATTTTTAAACTTTTTTTTTTAAATTTTTTTTTAAAGTATAGATCTAGAGACTAGGGATACTTGTAATAATACTACAAGAATCTAGACCAGGGGTCGGCAACCTTTTGAAACAGAAGAGCCAAAAGTTACAATTTACAAGATCTCCCACCTTTTAAAGAGCCACTAATGTTTTAACTTCAATATTATGATCTTTGATTAGGATTAGGTGTGTATATATGTATATATATATATATGTATATATATATATATATATTTATATATATATATATATATATATATATATATATATATATATATATATATATATATATATATATATATATATATATATGGTTCCATGACAAATGATCTCAGGACAAATGATTTCAGACAAAATATCTCAGACAAAATTATCTCACGGACAAAAGATACCAGGACAAATGATATCATGGACAAATGATCTCAGACAAAGTATCTCAGACAGAATATCTCACAGCAAAATTTTAATAGTATGTATGATGATTTTAGTTGATTTGAACTATTTTCAAATGACTGTAGATTTCTGCGAAAAAAAATTCTTATGTGTAGCGCCCGGGAGGGAGAGATTTTTGTCAATACATGGTTTGGTGCCCAGAGTTCAAGAGCAGGTATTTAGCACTTGGCACCCTTTAATCTGGCATCTTACATAGCGGGTAAGGGTATTACTATATTCAGCGGCAAAACTGCAACAGCGCAGCCGCCGGCACTTTGTCGATTGCGCGACCCGAAGAGCCTGCGAGCACTATGGTGCCTACGTTCATTTTTAAAAAAGGCTATACACTAAAGACACAACGGGCAACAGTAATCGTTGAATTAATCGAATCCGGCGCTTTTGGCGCTCCGGGCTTACCCGTGAGCACAATGGCGCCTACGTTCATTTTCGATACAATGAGTTGCACTACGTGTCTACGTTAGTTTTAGGGAGCACCCTTCAATATTGGTAATCCGGCACACGACACATGATGATTAAACCGTGCTAGGGGCTGTACGTGGCGCCCATGTGATTTTGTAATCGGGTTCACAGGAGCGCCACTTTCCATCCCCAACACTCAGGCGTTGGGTGATTAACGGTGATATCACGGTGAGTGATTAACCTACACTCAAGGCTTTCATATAGCACGCCCCATGGAGAGCTGGGCCGTAGTGTAGGTCAACCAGTGCCCCGATAAATATGATCCAAGCACAGGCATTGTTTACAATTAAATAACTCAGTTTTAGAAAACAGGAAGTACATTGAAAAATGGAGTAACGAAATATTCTAATAGAATAGCGAGTATTTGTTGTTTATATTTATTATTATTTAGTTCAGTACCGAATGTTGCAGACTAATATTTTTATGAGTTAAAAAAATTATTATTAATATTTGTGCATGGAGCCGCAGGTTGCCGACCCCTGATCTAGACTAATAGTAGTTGAATGATTATTTATTTATTACAACTTATTTGGCTATATAGGGGCCTCTATATAATATAGAGGCCCCTATATTATAGCCATATAAGCCAATATAAGGAATAGGGCCTATCTAAAACTGAAATTTTAATTAATAGGCCTAATAATTTATAATAAGTAGGCCTAGGTATAGCCTAGGGCCTAAGATCATTAATAAATCAGATTCAATGAATGAGCATTTAAACTTGACCAAGGTAGGCTTTCATTAGAATAAGGCCAAGGCTATTCCCAGCCGGTTGGGAATAGCCGTATTGGGGCTATTCCCAGCCGACTGTGAATAGCCCCAATACGGCTATTCACAGTCGGCTGTCATTTCATGCTAAATACGACTGTGAATAATATCTCAAAATAATAAAAGCAATTATTGTGACTGGGGAATGAGGTATAAAGAGAGCAGTGCTATTTTTATTTTGTTATAAAAAAGTTATTACAATTAAAGTTTAGTTTAGCTTTTAGGCTCATATCAGGCATATCTGCTACAGGCTACATACGTAGGTCATAGATGATCAATTATGCACTCTAAATCTATACACTAGAATAATAGATCTAGTAATTTTTAAATAAATAATACTAATTAAGCATCAGTTTGGTAAAGTTTAGTTGGTTGTTCACATTGCTATTCACTTATCAATTATCATTAAAAATTCACATTATCACATAGAATAAATATCAGGTGAAATAGGATGTCCTTTTTCATCAGCTATAATTCACAGTTTCCATCACACTTTTGTATTTTTTCTCTCTCTCTCTCTTTCTTTTTTTTTTTTTTTTTTTTTTTTTTTTTGTTGATATGCCAACAATTACGTCACAAAAAAAATTTAACAAAAGTAACCCTTCGATGAGTAACTTAATTAACTGAAAAATATTTTGATATTAAGTGAGAGGCATAAGAGTCATAGCAATAAGAGTCATAGCATCTGATGGATTTGAACCCACACCTTATGGCACGGAAGTCACTACCAATAACCGCTCGACCACACATCTTCATGCCTGGTTAGGTATTTTTAACATTAAATGTATCAAAAACGGTCACGTGAATACGACTGTGAATAGCCCCAATACGGCTATTCACAGTCGACTGTGAATAGACACTTCGTTAGAATAATTGGCTTTAATTACTAAATTAGCCTAATAATTAGTTAGCAGGCCTAGTTATTAATCATTATTTATTAAGCATAGGCCTAATTTTTGTTTAAATTAATCTCGTTTAGGGCCTAGGGGTCATCCATGTATTGTATGACATCATGCTATTTTAAATTTTTAATTATGTCAACCTACAACCCCCCCCCCCCCCCCCCTTCAAAACTGTAGTTGAATTTTTTCCAAAATCTAGTCTGAACTCTGTCAACATAGACATGACATAGGGCCTACACTATTTTAATACCTATTAGAGCCTATTAGTATATTAGGCTATTAGTATTAGGGCCTACAATTTATTAAAATAGTTTTCTAAAACACAAAATAACGGCTAAAATTCATTTTCTAACATATATCATATTGCGTTTTTATAATGCTGCAGTGATTGCCACATGTAGACTTGTACTTGTATGCTAAAGAACTAAAGATAGATTCTAGATCTAGATCTAGATTCTAAATATTTGATGTATGCTGCACTGATTAATTTTAATTATGGACCCCCCCCCCCCCCTCCCGTGTGACGTCATTTATGAACGGTGAACGACCTCCTAATAAGAATTTACTAAATTTAGACCTGGGCATTCTTCTTGACTCAAGACTAGAGCCCTGGCATAGACTCACTCCGCCCTATGGCCTACTCCTACTATACAAACTCTACTACTATCTACAAATTGGATGTATTGCCACATGAAGCCTAAGACCTAAGAGTAAGAGTGACTTAGATTATCTAGATCTAGAATTCTAGTTTTAATTCTGCTAAACAACAGGTTTAATATTTAATAATATTTATTCTAGATCTAGATCTAGACTAGATTCTATTTGTAACAAATTTTGTTCATAGTGAAAGTCGAATTTTGCGCTAACCACTGAGAGTTATCTATCTTTTTTTTAAATATGGTACACATTTTATTAGTACAATGCTATTGACTTATATTGTCGATCATGAGAAAATTGTTATCTTCTGATTTAAAAGAAAATTTTCTGATTGGAAAAAAAACTTTACTCCGTTTAAAATGAAAGGAGAGACAGCATGACTTTGTGAGGCAACCTAAAGTAATCTGTTTAAAAAAATTCCGCTGGGTGTAACGAAACAAGATGTAATGAGATTTGAGTAAACTTAAGTTAAAGCTGATAAAATCTATTTACGTTAAGTGGGGGAGGGGTGGCAAAGGGGTTTGTGGCACAAAGGACAGCACAAAATAGAATAGACATCTTAGGCAGAAAACTGGGACAGCTTTAGTCATTTACAAATATTTATTTATACACGTTAATAAAACAAAGTCAAGTAACAACTAGTAACACAAAATAGACATCTTAGATTACTGGAGCAAATTTGGACTAGTCAGACTGAACAAACTAAACAACACAGTCGGTTTAACACACAAACTGAAACATAAACATAAGAAAAAATATATTCAATTTTAAAGAAGTTTATTCATGATAATGCACTAAAGGCAATCAAATTTGAAGTTTGTTTTATCCGCTCAACAATCAAGAAAAATCCATTGTTCTGCCATTTATCAATCATCAGTGAGCTATGAACACACAACCAGCTATACAAAAGCCAACCACATATCAACAACTTGAGCCATCCATATGTACACACTTTTATCATACAACAGTAGTCATACTGAAACTTTTCAAATCTGGTTATAAATTATATGCATCTTCATTCACAGATGTATAAAGAAAAAATATGTATGTACTAATACAAAAATATAAACATAATTTGCCAGAGGTAAATATTTTTTTAAGTCTTGGCAATTTACTGGCCTGCTAGCAGCAATTCTGTGTATAAGTTTATGAAATCTTAAAGAAAAATTTTTTAGTTACAAAACAAAATATTTTCAAATTAAAAAAAAAAGAATAGCTAAGAAAAAAACTCAACACAAGTGATGTTAGATGAATGTAGGGGAATGTGTTATTCTTTTCATTCATAAAACCAAATCTGGGACATGTGAAAAATTGAGGGTACCCTGTCAGAGGCTCAACTCATACAAACTTATTGCACAAAAGGCTTGTTCTGTTATTTAATGGAACAATCTTGAACAAATTAAAGAAGATATAAAAAAGAACAGCAACTCATGTTACACAAGAACAATAAAATGACAATTTCAAGAAAATCTGTACAAACTTCTTTCATTTCATCACGACAAAAAAATCCATTGATATTTGAGCATTGTAATATATCTAATTTGCTTTAGTACAAAAAAGAATAATTTATGTTTGCATATACAAAGCATAGCTTATACATTGATGCCTATTCCTTTTTTACATTTTCAAAGAAAAATATATTAAGCTTTTGTTTGTGAAAAATTTTAACTGAATTATTGTAGAGGTTAACAAGTTAAAATCACTGCAGCATACAGGTCCACATGTGGCAATTACTGAAGCATACAGGTCCACATGTGGCAATCACTGCAGCATACAGGTCTACATGTGACAATCATTGCAGCATACAGGTCTACATGTGACAATCATTGCAGCATACAGGTCCACATGTGGCAATCACTGCAGCATACAGGTCTACATGTGGCAATCACTGCAGCATACAGGTCCACATGTGGCAATCACTGCAGCATACAGGTCCACATGTGGCAATCACTGCAGCATACAGGTCCACATGTGGCAATCACTGCAGCATACAGGTCTACATGTGGCAATCACTGCAGCATACAGGTCCACATGTGGCAATCACTGCAGCATACAGGTCTACATGTGGCAATCACTGCAGCATACAGGTCCACATGTGGCAATCACTGCAGCATACAGGTCCACATGTGGCAATCACTGCAGCATACAGGTTTAAATGTGGCAATCACTGCAGCATACAGGCCCACATGTGGCAATCACTGCAGCATACAGGTCCACATGTGGCAATCACTGCAGCATACAGGTCCACATGTGGCAATCACTGCAGCATACAGGTCCACATGTGGCAATCACTGCAGCATACAGGTTTAAATGTGGCAATCACTGCAGCATACAGGCCCACATGTGGCAATCACTGCAGCATACAGGTCCACATGTGGCAATCACTGCAGCATACAGGTCCACATGTGGCAATCACTGCAGCATACAGGTCCACATGTGGCAATCATTGCAGCATACAGGTTTAAATGTGGCAATCACTGCAGCATACAGGTCCACATGTGGCAATCACTGCAGCATACAGGTCCACATGTGGCAATCACTGCAGCATACTGGCCCACATGTGGTAACAGCAGACATTGACCAGGTCCTCCACATGGGTCTGTAGACTGTACAGAGGCAGGTTTGGGTAATCAGGCAGGTGTTTCTTGAAGTCCACCAGCTTTTCCTTTGTCACTACGCAAAGTTCCTACCAATGAAACAAAAAATGGCACATGTTCATCTTTTTACAATCCTTTTTTTACAAATAACAAAAGATTTTTAAAAATTCACATATTTTATGAAAGAACCAAAAACTTGCACTTGTTCATCTGTTCATCAAACAACCATTTTGACATAATAAAAAAGTATTATCGAAACAGATTGACCTACCATTTGTTCAGTTGAATCTGTCAAAGCCAGCATAGCAAACATATCCAAATTGTTTGCATTAAAAACAACCTAAAAGTATATAAAGCAATTTCACTTCAATTTATAATTTTTTATACAAAAAGAAATAAGTTAAAGATTTTTGAATAATTAAACAAAGTTAAAACATTTCAAAAATAGTAATAATAATACTTCTTGAAATATTATAACTTTCTACATGGATAATGAAATATGGCATACAAATGTTGAACATAAGATGAAAGAATAAATGTAATGAGTGAATGAATGACTTACAATGTACTGTGTCTTGTGTGTGGGGGTGAGTTACAATATACTGTGTCTTTTGTGTGTGGGTGACTTACAATGTACTGTGTCTTGTGTGTGGGGGTGAGTTACAATATACTGTGTCTTTTGTGTGTGGGTGACTTACAATGTACTGTGTCTTGTGTGTGGGGGTGAGTTACAATATACTGTGTCTTTTGTGTGTGGGTGACTTACAATGTACTGTGTCTTGTGTGTGTGTGTCTTACAATGTACTGTGTCTTGTGTGTGAGTGACTGGGTGACTTACAATGTACTGTGTCTTGTTGTGTGTGGATGACTTACAATGTACTGTGTCTTGTTGTGTGTGGGTGACTTACAATGTACTGTGTCTTGTTGTGACTGAATGACTTACAATGTACTGTGTCTTGTTGTGACTGAATGACTTACAATGTACTGTGTCTTGTTGTGACTGAATGACTTACAATGTACTGTGTCTTGTTGTGACTGAATGACTTACAATGTACTGTGTCTTGTTGTGACTGAATGACTTACAATGTACTGTGTCTTGTTGTTTGGACTAGTAAAACAGCGGTGTGAGCCAGGGTACTTGTTGACAAAAGCTGTGTACAGCCCATGGTACCAGTGGTAGGGCATGTTGAACAGTGGGGTCAGCTGGCTGTCCACCTCATTCAGTGAAATGGTGGCCACACTTTGAAGCAGCTCAAAAAATTCTTCAGAGCTGAACGGAGCACCCTGGGGATATACATGGGTTTTTTTTCATGAAAAAAAATATAGAAATAAATCTAACTTTTTGTCTTAACAGTTTCAATCATGCAAACAATTGACCAGACTGTGTAGCTAGTGCCATCACAAGCTTTAGGCATACAGCTGGATAAAACTGTGCTAAAAAACCTACTGAATCAGTGCTGTCATCAGGATCAGCAGATTTTTTCTTGCTGCTATCTTCAACATGATGAGATGTCAGGAGACGCTGCCACAGATAATCACGACGACATTTCCTTGTTGACAACTCTACCATCTCAAGTATTTTTTCTCTGGAGAAAAAAATGTAAAATTTTCTCTGTAATATTTACAACTTTAGTTATAAAATTGTACAAGAGGGGAAGAACTAGTTGTGTTACCTCCCCTTCTCACTCTGCTTAAAGAGTGTCTGCAACAGTGCCAGTTGTTGCATGTTGGAGTATCCCCTATAGTTGACATGGACCCTCCGCATGCAGATGTGTTGTCTCACAGCTATAGGCTTGCACTGATCATTCTCTGATTCCTTTCTTTCTGTGTTTTCATTCACTTTGAGAAAACAATGCATCAAATACATCTTATATTTCTTAGAGCACTTTTGATACAAAATAAGTCATTGTAAGCAACGTGAATGCTAGATTCTGATTTGCTTTTCAATTATAGATATTCAACATAAATTTTACAGCTTTTCAATTATAGATATTCCATAAAAACATTACAGCAGTTTTAGAAATTATGAAACAAATACTAACAAATATATTTATTGCATTAAAATATGAGCTGTCTGTGTTAGCAGACTTAAAAATAGATCCAAATAAAGCGATGATAAAAACAACTGACCTTTACCACTGCCTCCCACTGTGCCTTTTGTCTCACCAAAATCTTTCTCCAGGGTCTGTAGTGGATAGCAGTCCTGATCTCTGGTCAGCACTGTGAAGTATTTGAGCACCAGTTTCATGGCATCAGCAGTTCCTTCAGGGGTGGCATTGGTCATGATGAGCCCAGCTATGTACTTCTCTGGCTGGTAATCCTCTGTGCTCTGGGTCTGGCTACACAGTTCTAGCAGTTCATGGATCACTAATACAGACTTGCCACGCTGGAACATTTTTTTTATTTAAAAATTAAATGGTTGGGCTATATGACACTTTGAGCTCCCCTTATGTAAAAGTACTAAAGCATTTATCTTGTAAAGGGTCATCCATTTTGATGTAATTAAATCACTGGGCCAATATAAATAAAATGTATGTTTCTAAAATAAATGAGTGATGAAGGAAAAAAGGGGCCATGAACCCGATGTGACTTTATGGTTTATAACAATGATGCAAAGAACTACATAAATAATAAATATATAAGGAGAGGAGATGGTCTAAAAACTTTGAGGTTGTCATTTATGTATGACCCCTAACATACTATTTTCCATCCTCCACTCCTTTAAAATGTAAGAATTGAAGCCTTACTGTTGTAAAAAATTTAGCTGACTCGTTAGTTTTTAACCTGAGCATGTACTCATACAGCATGGTGCCTGGGAACAACAGCTTGGGTAGGATGATGGAATCTGTGGATGGTACAGTTATACAGGTGTGTAGGTGTGACAGCAATACAGGTGTGTAGATGGTACAGAAATACAGGTGTGTTGATGGTACAGCAATACAGGTGTGTAGGTGGTACAGCAATACAGATGTGTAGATGGTACAGCAATACAGGTGTGTTGATGGTACAGCAATACAGGTGTGTAGGTGGTACAGCAATACAGGTGTGTAGATGGTACAGAAATACAGGTGTGTTGATGGTACAGCAATACAGGTGTGTAGATGGTACAGCAATACAGGTGTGTAGATGGTACAGCAATACAGGTGTGTAGATGGTACAGCAATACAGGTGTGTAGGTGGTACAGCAATACAGATGTGTAGATGGTACAGCAATACAGGTGTGTAGGTGGTACAGCAATACAGGTGTGTAGATAGTACAGCAATACAGGTGTGTAGATGGTACAGCAATACAGGTGTGTAGATGGTACAGCAATACAGGTGTGATGATGGTACAGCAATACAGGTGTGTAGGTGGTACAGCAATACAGGTGTGTAGATGGTACAGCAATACAGGTGTGTAGATGGTACAGCAATACAGGTGTGATGATGGTACAGCAATACAGGTGTGTAGGTGGTACAGCAATACAGGTGTGTAGATGGTACAGCAATACAGGTGTGTAGGTGGTACAGCAATACAGGTGTGTAGATGGTACAGCAATACAGGTGTGTTGATGGTACAGGAATACAGGTGTGTAGATGGTACAGCAATACAGGTGTGTAGATGGTACAGCAATACAGGTGTGTAGATGGTACAGCAATACAGGTGTGTAGATGGTACAGCAATACAGGTGTGTTGATGGTACAGCAATACAGGTGTGTAGATGGTACAGCAATACAGGTGTGTAGATGGTACAATACAGGTGTGTTGATGGTACAACAATACAGGTGTGTAGATGGTACAGCAATACAGGTGTGTAGATTGTACAGCTATAAAGGTGTGTAGATGGTACAGCAATACAGGTGTGTTGATGGTACAACAATACAGCAATACAGGTGTGTAAAACATAACAAGAGACAACCATTACCCTGGTGTAAACAGTTTCTTGAGAAGCTGGGAGGGTAAGGGTAGATCTGCTTAAAGTCATTCAGAAAACTTTCAAGGTCAAAGTCCATAGGAAGGAAAGAAACTTTTTGCTCCTTGCTGAGGTAGGTTTGTACACAACGAAGATGAAAATCATGGGCAAAAGAGTGGACATGGATCAGATCTTTGTAGCGGTCACACTCGTCCACAAAGATCAGGTGCATCTAAAATCAGAAGAGAGTTCAAAGTGTTTTATGGTCGTGATTTATCAGCATTTAAACATATGATCATGATTTATCAGCATTTACACATATGATCATGATTTATCAGCATTTAAACGGAAACTACTTTTTCATAAAAATTGAATATTACAGTTATAAACAGAATAAACAATCTTTGAAATTAGTATTATTCAATTATTAAACAAAAGTTAAACCCTTTAAAACTATTGTAAAAAGTCATATTGTAGTTAGTATACATTTTAAAATATTTTTTTAAATGTGAAATATTTTAAAACTATTGTATAAAGCCATATTAAAGTTAGTATTTACTTATAAAAGCATTTTTTTAAATGTGAAATATTTTAACACTATAATATAAAGCTACACTGTAGTTAAATTAATAAAAGTATTAAAGAGAGGTGAAATATTTTAAAAAAACTGTGTAAAGCCACATTATAGTTAGTATTTATTTACAAAAGTATTTTTGTAAAAAAGTATTTTTGTAAAAGGTGAGATATTTTAACACTATATAGTATAATATAAAGTTAAAATGTAGTTATATTTTTTATAAAAGTATTAAAAGAGCGGTAAAATATTTAACATTGTAGTTATTTTTTTAAAGTATTAAAAGACAGGTGAAATATTTTCAAACTATTCTAGAAAGCCACCTTGTAGTTAGTTTGTACTAAGCGTAAAACAAAGGTGGAACACTTGAAAACTATTGTACATACATATTCCTCCTCTACCTGTGGGTTAACATTGACCTTGAACTGAGAGCAACCTATGGCAAACATCTTGACACAGAAGAACTCCTGCCTGAAGCTTAGCTCCATCACTAGAATCCCACCAGTCAGTGTTTTCTGCAGGTTCATTGGTTTTTTATCTGGAGATCCAGCTTGGAAAGACATTGAGGAGCCTTGCCTACAAACAGGTGAAATTTATCATTAGTGGAGCCTTGCCTACAAACATGTGAAATTTATCCTTAGTGGAGCCTTGCCTAGAAACAGGTGAAATTTATCATTAGTGGAGCCTTGCCTACAAACAGGTGAAATTTATCATTAGTGGAGCCTTGCCTACAAACATGTGAAATTTATCCTTAGTGGAGCCTTGCCTAGAAACAGGTGAAATTTATCATTAGTGGAGCCTTGCCTACAAACATGTGAAATTTATCATAAGTGGAGCCTTGCCTACAAACATGTGAAATTTATCCTTAGTGGAGCCTTGCCTACAAACAGGTGAAATTTATAATTAGTGCAGCCTTGCCTACAAACATGTGAAATTTATCATTAGTGGAGCCTTGCCTACAAACATGTGAAATTTATCCTTAGTGGAGCCTTGCCTACAAACATGTGAAATTTATAATTAGTGCAGCCTTGCCTACAAACATGTGAAATTTATCCTTAGTGGAGCCTTGCCTACAAACATGTGAAATTTATAATTAGTGCAGCCTTGCCTACAAACATGTGAAATTTATCATTAGTAGAGCCTTGCCTACAAACATGTGAAATTTATCATTAGTGCAGCCTTGCCTACAAACATGTGAAATTTATCATTAGTAGAGCCTTGCCTACAAACATGTGAAATTTATCATTAGTGGAGCCTTGCCTACAAACATGTGAAATTTATCCTTAGTGGAGCCTTGCCTACAAACATGTGAAATTTATAATTAGTGCAGCCTTGCCTACAAACATGTGAAAATTATCATTAGTGGAACCTTGCCTACAAACATGTGAAATTTATCATAAGTGGAGCCTTGCCTACAAACATGTGAAAATTATTATTAGTGGACCTCTGCCTTGCCTAAAAAAATGTGTATTAACAATTAGTGGCGTTTGCCTGGTCTACTATCTGAGTCTTAAGGATAGTGTAAAAATGTGGTCTTACTATCAGATTCTTTAAAAATAATGAAAATATGATTGCGTTAAATTCTAAAAAAAAGTGAAAATGCTGATTCGCATAAGAAAAAAACAAACTCCGCTATCTTCCTACTACAAAATATAAAATGATTGATGAAGTAAAAAGTTGCCCTCCCTCCAACAACCCCCCCCCCCCCCCCCCATGCAAGTAACTCACATTTTGAGCACAGGCTGCAGCTTGAGTTTGATGAAGCCAAGCTGGTGCAGGTACTGCTTGTATTCCTTCATGAACCTCTTCCTCAGGTCCACGTGCCACTGAGCCTCCTCCTCCTCCACATCAGACCTGCTGCGCCCATGGAAGAGTCTAGCCTCAGAACCCTTCCTGCTCAACTCTTCATTGGGTTTGCCCTTAAAGCTGATGTTGGATGTCCCAGAGCTATGGCGAGATCTCTGATTGGAGCAAAACTTTTTACATTCACCAACATGGAGTCAGATCATTATTGTACAGAAATCATTATGTAACTAACAATTAAATTGAGTACAAAAATGGACAGTGAGATAATTATTAAAATAGCAATTTAATTGGTTATCAAAACTGACAATATTTCTACATCAAATGTTGAGGTCTTACATGCCTGATAAAAAACATCTTAAAGATCAGCTCTCTACCTGACAAGAGACTGACTTCTGTTGAGGGACTGACACCTTGCAAGGGACTGACAACTGATACACTACTGATGAGCTAACACTTAAAGAGTGACTAGCATTAACTGTTTACATATTAAGTGACTTACTATTCAGTTCAAGAATTTAACAACTAATCATATACTAAAGACACCTGCAACCCCAAAGGTAGGCGACAATTAAACTACCAATACCAAACATGGCATCTAAGTACAAAAGTAGTCATGCTGTTGAAGGATTCAGGAGGATAGTGGATATAGTGGATGATTCAGTCAGGAGAGGAAGAATTAGCTATCACCCAAAGCCAACATTCCATGAGGGTGGGGAAAGGTTGAAAAAAAGTTTTGATGAAAATAAAAATTCTTTGATTTATAGTAACATAGGAAGGAACTTGATGGGATTTTTTAAAAAACAAATGGAAAAATAAGTAGCTGAGTGTATACGATGTTACTTTTCTATTTAAATGTAATACTAAGAAAAAACATGCAAATGAGAGCACTGAATAATCTCTCACTTTCTTGAAGACAAAAATTTTATCCTACACAAATATTGGTTCTATTTATTTATCTTTTAATAATGCCATATGATCAAATTTTATTTATCTGGTTTAAACTAACTTGAATGTTTACATACAACTGCTCTGATTCAATGGGTTTTTTATTGACTATTCAAATGATAAATTTGCTATTACAGTAGCCTATCTCTATACAAAACAAAATACATGTGATTAATGGGAATGCTAAAATAATGACAAAATGGCCATGCTGAAATAAGGAAACAATGGCCATGCTGAAATAAGGAAACATTGGCCATGCTGAAATAAGGAAACAATGGCCATGCTGAAATAAGGAAACAATGGCCATGCTGAAATAAGGAAACAATGGCCATGCTGAAATAAGGAAACAATGGCCATGCTGAAATAAGGAAACAATGGCCATGCTGAAATAAGGAAACAATGGCCATGCTGAAATAAGGAAACAATGGCCATGCTGAAATAAGGAAACAATGGCCATGCTGAAATAAGGAAACAATGGCCATGCTGAAATAAGGAAACATTGGCCATGCTGAAATAAGGAAACAATGGCCATGCTGAAATAAGGAAACAATGGCCATGCTGAAATAAGGAAACAATGGCCATGCTGAAATAAGGAAACATTGGCCATGCTGAAATAAGGAAACAATGGCCATGCTGAAATAAGGAAACAATGGCCATGCTGAAATAAGGAAACAATGGCCATGCTGAAATAAGGAAACAATGGCCATGCTGAAATAAGGAAACAATGGCCATGCTGAAATAAGGAAACAATGGCCATGCTGAAACAAGAAAACATTGGCCATGCTGATAGTGTGGCCATGCAGTGTATGACTTACACTGACAGGACTTGGTACAGGCAACAGATTGGGAAACTGATGACATGAAAAATATGACTCAACTTATTCTTCATCAATAAACAACAAACAGCATTGGACAGTTCAGACATCTGTACACAATCAACATGAAGGTATTGTTTAGAGTATTGTTAACAAGGAAAAATAAATTCTACAGACAGATAGGCTAACTTGGTCACCATTGATGATGAACATTGTAGTGAAAAATGGTAAATTGACTCACAGTTTTGTGAGCCTCAGGTAAATTGACTGACAGTTTTGTGAGCCTCAGGTAAATTGACTCACAGTTTTGTGAGCCTCAGGTAAAGTGACTCACAGTTTTGTGAGCCTCAGGTAAATTGACTCACAGTTTTGTGAGCCTCAGGTAAATTGACTCACAGTTTTGTGAGCCTCAGGTAAATTGACTGACAGTTTTGTGAGCCTCAGGTAAACTGACTCACAAGCCTCAGGTAAATTGACTCACAAGCCTCAGGTAAATTGACTCACAAGCCTCAGGTAAACTGACTCACAGTTTTGTCAGCCTCAGGTAAATTGACTCACAAGCTTCAGGTAAATTGACTCACAAGCCTCAGGTAAATTGACTCACAAGCCTCAGGTAAATTGACTCACAGTTTTGTGAGCCTCAGGTAAATTGACTCACAAGCCTCAGGTAAATTGACTCACAAGCCTCAGGTAAATTGACTCACAAGCCTCAGGTAAATTGACTCACAAGCCTCAGGTAAATTGACTCACAGTTTTGTGAGCCTCAGGTAAATTGACTCACACTTTTGTCAGCCTCAGGTAAATTGACTCACGAGCCTCAGGTAAATTGACTTACAGTTTTGTGGGTCCTGTCTGGTGTTGTGGGTGTGCCCCCTGCTATCAGCCCTGCTGTAGCATTTAAAATGTTGTATGTTGAAGCTGGATTGTTGTCCTGCCTGGACTTGTCAGTCTTACATGTTGTCTTCTGTACCACACTCTGGCGCCAGGAGGAGGAAAATATCAGGGGAGTGGCACAGTAATGGAACAGCCGACATGAGCGCTTCAGTTGCATCAAATAGTCTTCCTGTTGGTAAAGTTCAGCAAAAGAATTAGATTCTACAAAAACAATGGTTGTAGAAGCCTGTCTGCAATATAAGATGAAAGGAATGTAAATAATGTTGTTAAGTAATTTACCAAGACATTCCTTAAACCCCATTTCTATGTGGGGTGACATTAAAATATCAGCATGATTCCTAGACACCAAATTTATCATTTTTTGGTTGATCAGAACTCAAGATATTTAAATGTAAACAATGTCAGAACTACTGTTTTCCTATCTTTGTTGTTAGGGTGCTGGATAGTCCACTGTACAGCCCAGTTGTCCTAGGGATAGACAGACTGCTTACACTACCCTAGGGCTGCAGGGTGCCACCCCTCATTTGGTTTAGTCATCAATTATAGTAGCCCAACAGCTAGGGCACTCTTTAAAATCATAATGAATGTAGGCTAATTAATGCTGGAGTAATCAACAACTTCCTACAGTTTCATGGTGATTGGATAAAGGTGTTGTAATGAATAAATACAGACACACATTTTTTTGTATACCAAAAAATATAAACTACAACTCCACCATATATATCAAAACACAAGAAACTGATAAACCTCCACCCCAAAGTGCTTGTGTTACTTGTTAAGTTACATACTCACCATTATAGGTGGGTTTGCTTTATTTTTACCACTCATCTGTAAGAAGCCAAGATACAATGAGTACAACTTGCTGTGATCTTCCTCTAGAGAAATAAAAATTTCTTCTTGTAAAGGTTGAAGGAAAAATATAAACTCAATGGTGGGCATAGCTTAAAACTCAAAGCAAAATGTAAGGGAGTAAAAAATTTACAATTTCATACATAATGGCCAACAACAGGTAGAGGCAGCAAGGGGGGAGGGGGAAAGAGAAGGGAAGACGACAAGGGTAAATAAACCATGAGAAACCTGCTTGCCAAATTTTACCTTCAAAAACTGCTCTCTGTGCCTCAGTCAACTGGTGGCCATGTTGAAAGACAGGATCCTTGATGTTGACCAGCAGGACCTTCTCTTCAGCCAAATCTTTGCGGCTAGCTGACGTCTGCTGTTTGTCTAGTGTCATTACATGAGGAAATGTTGACTCAAACATTGGTTTACTTTGATTACATGAGGAAATGTTGACTCAAACATTAGTTTACTTTGATTACATGAGGAAATGTTGACTCAAACATTGGTTTACTTTGATTACATGAGGAAATGTTGACTCAAACATTGGTTTACTTTGATTACATGAGGAAATGTTGACTCAAACATTGGTTTACTTTGATTACATGAGGAAATGTTGACTCAAACATTGGTTTACTTTGATTACACGAGGAAATGACATGAATATGTTTTTAAACAAAAAATTCAAGAGGGAATAGTAAGGCTATTTATTTAATTTTAATAGAAAACATGGGACTAATAATTGTTGAAAAATGTCTGTTTTAAAAAGGAACAAATAAGAGGTGTCTTCTGAGGCTCAGGTTTTTTATGATTGCATGTTTATTTTTTATGTTAAATTCAAAATTATTATAAAATTATTGCATAGGTTAATGTACTCGAAATTTTGTAAATTCTATTTCATTTATTTAAATTTTGGAAAGTAAAACAAAAATACCCTAAGATAAAGCTAAGTGTTGCCAGTTTACATTTTCTAAAATTAAATTTATCTTGAGACATTAATTAAAAACCATTCAAGGAGATGATTAGAAAGAAGAGAGAAAACACTCAACTTATAGGATGGGTCAAAGCTTGGCAAATATTTGAGGGGTGAGAGGAAACAAATTGAAACAATCAAACAAGTCATATGATAACTACATTCATTTTTTAAAGCTTTTTGTGATGACGCAATGTTGCGTCGAAGCCAGGTAGATAGCAGAAATAGGCTTTAGCGTGTTAGTCAGAGGTAGACCAATGAAAATTCAGAGACTGACCGGTCACGTGGTATGGTCAGCTGACCACTGAGGCGTGGGGCAGTAGAGCGATAGGCCAGAAGGGTTAGGTAGCGGTCAGAGACGGCCGAGAATGTAGATAGTTAGGTAGATCATGATTAGCTAGCGAGGTAGAAGGTGTTAGATTGTAGAATGTAGAGAACAGTTAGTGTTAGGATTGGTCATGGGAGTTAGTAGTATAGTGAACAGTCAGTAGTAGAAGTAAATAGTAAACTTGAACATATATATAATAAAGAACAATTATAGTTGAACTTGAACTGTGTATTATTGGATCCATTCGTTACGCCTTCTTAAAAATCCCCACCCTCACATCTGGTGGAGCTGCGGGGTGAGTAAGGGAAAGAACGTATATCAGCTATTCATGACGGAGTACGACTGGTGTACAGCTTTCTTCAACTCAACACAACAACGGGTTTCTTCAACCGGAACGAGTTTGGATTAACAACACAAGGAAACAGTCTACATGTCCAAAAAGATAAGTACCTTCCAAAATTTTTTTAAACGTTTGGGTTTAGACTCGTGCTGGATATTTGGTACCAGCGATTTTTCTGCCTCTTTCTTATCTGTTTCTTCAACCACACTACCCTTAAAAATGCCTCCATTGTACGAAGTGGGCACTAAAACTGAGCTCAAGTCAGGCCTAGAAGAGTCAGGTAGAATTGATGACTTGTTGCTATACACAAATGTTCAGAATACAGTTAAAATGGAACACAAAACAAGAACTATTGAGGATCCAGATATTCTGGATGAATTGATTATTAGGCTTGGACAATACACGACAACAGAAAATCGAGACTGGTTATTAACTGTTAAAGAATTTGACGTAAAAACTCTAGATGATCCAGATGCTATGGAAGATTTGATCAATAGAATTGTAGATTACAAGGTAACCGGAGATCCAGATTCCTTGTTGACTGAAGAAGAATATGATGCAAAGATAGATGCCGAGTTAGCAGAGAAACAAAGAGAAGCAGAAACATATATTGCCGGAATTAAAGAAGAAACAGAAAGAATTCGTAAAGAAATAGAAAAAATGAGAGAACTTCGCCAAGCCAAACAAGAAATGGTGCAAAGTTTAGATACAAATAAAAACAACCAGATAGCCGAACCAGCATTTTACTATTCCTACGACTCAGATTCAGATGACACGTCCAGTGAAGCAAGCGAAATACCTACTACAAAAAGTGAAACACCACATAGGCCTACACTCCAAAAACGTAATACGGCAAATCACACCATTCAGATTAACTACAGTCAACAAAAACACAAGTACAGTGTCAAATGCTACTATTGTAATAGAACAGGCCACAAACAAATAAATTGCAGAATACGATATTATGATAGACGCCAACAAGATGCACAACGCAACAGACCAAAATATAGACAGATAAATAGAAAAGCTTTTATGTCATCGTTTACAGAAGCCAGTAGAAGAACAGACATATTTACATCAAAAGTCAATAACAGATACGCCACAGCAATTAGGGATACACTATGCTCCACAGTGGCAGTACGTAACACATTCGTACAACACCATCAATACACAGGCAGAACACAACGTGTTCACAGTTCAAGAGGCAGCACATATGTTTGGCCAACAGCCATAGTCACCATAGCCACACCCTCAGCGTGTAAAACAGTTGAAGCAGCTGTTTTCAAAAACGGGCCATACGATATGATATTAGGCAACATTACAGGAGTGAAGCAGTTTAATGTAGAATTTATGAACCACAAGCAACAAATAAACAAGCAGCCCAGTATTCGAGACAACGAAAAAGTAGACACAAAAGTAGACGAGATGCAATTCAAAACGGGCAAGTTGATAGAAAAAGTTAACGAGGTTATTGATGATCATTCTAGAAAGACTACCGAGATTGGTGCAGATGTTCTTAACTTAGGGATGCAGAACGACACAGTCAGTAATAGATTGCTGAGATTAGAGAAATCAGTAAACAATGAATCAGAGGAATATGTAACAAGGAATTTGATAGCAGACAAACAGTACTGTTACTCCTGGTCAGCCTTAAACCAGATGACCCCATCAACACACCTACACAAACACAAGTATAGTAATCATAGACCATGTGAAAGCTCACAACACCTTTGTACACACCGAGCCCCGCCCTATCGGCCCTAGTGTGGTATATTAAGGCCTGGATAGAATTTGACCCGGAACGCCCCCACGAATGTTTTTGAACAACGGACTAAAGTCAAGTCGAGTTTTTTTTTTCTGTTAATCTAAGTCAGAACTGAAGTCAAAGAAGTTATTTGAAGTCAGTCAAGTCAGTCAATGTTGTTAAAGTCGTAGTTGAGGTCATAGTGACGTAGTTGAAGTCATGTTGCAGTCAAAGAAAAGTCTTTGAAGTTATATTAAAGTCGTTGAGGTCATAGTAAAGAAGTGAACTCGTCGAAGTTATAGTGAAGTCTTTGAAGTCAAAGTGATGTCGTTGAAGTTTTTGAAGTCATATTGAAGTTGTTGAAGTCAAAGTGAAGTCTTTGAAGTCATATTGAAGTTGTTGAAGTCAAAGTGAATTATTTGAAGTCATATTGAAGTCGTTGAAGTCAAAGTGAAGTCTTTGAAGTCATATTGAAGTAGTTGAAGTCAAGGAAAAGTCTTTGAAGTCAAAGTGAAGACGTTAAAGTCGTCGAAGTTTAAGTCGGTCAGTGAAGTCTTTTAAGTTGAATTGAAGTGAAGTCGTCGAGGTCAAGTTAGTCTTCAAAGTGAAGTTAGTCGTCAAGTTGAAGTAATTGAAGTCGTCGAAGTGAAATAAGTCAAGTTACTGAAGTCAGTCGAGTTACTGAAGTCAAAGTGAAATAAGTCAAGTTACTGAAGTCAAAAGTGAAGTCAGTCATTAAGTCAAGCCAGCCAGTTTTTTTGTCAGAAGTCAGTTAGTGAGAGCTGCTCCACTATATGATCACGTGTTGAAATGGCACGATACACACTCACATGTCTATTCTTTTTGTGAAGCTATTTCTATGCTCTAGTAGTGTTTACGTCTATTGAGTTTATTAGGCTTTACAGATTGCTGTTAGATTAGAGTGTACTGATTTTTTTATTTGGTTATTTTTGTAATGTTATACTTGTAATGTATTTTTTAATGTTTGTTATACCGCCAGACAAATGTTCAGCACGTATAAATTTGGGATTGAGGTTTTTTTTTTTTAATGGAAGGTACCTCTGTCTGAATACTTGTCTGCGCGGGCACTAAGATAGTCACGTAAAGCCATTGCTTATAGTCTCGTAATACAATTTCAGACCCACCAGCGTTATACAGAATGAGACGAGATGAAGCAGACACTTCAAAGAATGCCGCCACCTGATTACGTTGAATTACCTGGACAGCGAACAGCCCTGCTGAACAGAGAATTGCCCTGGTCAAGACAGCGGACGCATCGCCACCGCTTCGCCCCCGCACTGGAGTTGAATAACAGACCGCCAGCTACGTACACCTACGTCGGCACATACAAAGGGTAGAAGACCCATCGTCCAAGTTCCCAGCGTCGGAAAGTTACGTCATTGTTCGTCACCGCATCAGACAGCTCCAGTTCATCGTATAACCACTCTACGTGGACGTCTCAACCAGCGTTGAGATGAGATTGTTGCGTCATCACATTGACCAACGAAAGTTACGCCTACACCCGCCTCACGGGAATGTACATCAAAACTCGCCACAACCCACCCACCACAGAGGAACGCCAACAATTACATAACACTTACACATACACTTACACTGCTCGCAGAGCCCGTTCAACCAGTTACACATTCTACTAAGATTAGCTCAAGGCCAGTACACGACAACCTAACCAGAACTGAGTTACACATGATTAGATTCAATCAAACCATAACATAGACATACATTATCAAGCAGAGACACCACAGACGTCAGGATACTTACACAAAAACTAGAACAATGACATTTTTTTTTCAGGAACACAGACACAAGATTTTGTGTTTTTGTAAACTGTGCTGTCCCATTTTGTATTTGATTTATATGATTGATGTTAGGGATAGAATAGAGTAGTAAGACAGATAGTTGTTGATGTATTAGATTAGTAGCAGACGCTGAAAAATATAATTTGTCAGCTACAGAAAGGGAGGGAGATATGTGATGACGCAATGTTGCGTCGAAGCCAGGTAGATAGCAGAAATAGGCTTTAGCGTGTTAGTCAGAGGTAGACCAATGAAAATTCAGAGACTGACCGGTCACGTGGTATGGTCAGCTGACCACTGAGGCGTGGGGCAGTAGAGCGATAGGCCAGAAGGGTTAGGTAGCGGTCAGAGACGGCCGAGAATGTAGATAGTTAGGTAGATCATGATTAGCTAGCGAGGTAGAAGGTGTTAGATTGTAGAATGTAGAGAACAGTTAGTGTTAGGATTGGTCATGGGAGTTAGTAGTATAGTGAACAGTCAGTAGTAGAAGTAAATAGTAAACTTGAACATATATATAATAAAGAACAATTATAGTTGAACTTGAACTGTGTATTATTGGATCCATTCGTTACGCCTTCTTAAAAATCCCCACCCTCACACTTTTCTTATTCCAAAGTTCCATATCTTTCAGCAACAAAACAAGTTTAAGCAATGGATTTCTTTTGTTACCACTACAGCAAACTCAAGTAACAAACTGTGGTGTGCTAACACTTGAAGCCACATAAGAGGTAAGGGAGAACCATATGACACCAGCACAGGGTTTGACCCACCTTGTCTAGACTGAGCTCTAAGCTCCTGTGTTGGTATCCCATGGCGACTGACTGGGTCTAGTGTCAGTCTAACCGTTATCTTATTCAGGTGCTTGGGTGGCACAATCATCTTGTAGGTCTGGTCAAACGGTATGATTCTCTTGATTGGACGGTGGCCTGACTTTTCTCTTTCCTTCACTGACATACTGCTATTCCTCCTCTGAAAGTCCCGCGGGGTGTGGTTACGTATTAAACTTTCCACTTCTCCAGGGGACTGAGTGAATGGATTCTGAGTCTGGGATAAGAGAAATTCTCTCAATCAATGGATTCTGATAGATGGATGGGGCGATTAATCTAAGTGTATAGATCCAGATAATTAACTGAGTGAATTGATTCATAGTTAGGCAGGAGAGAATTCATTAGCATGAATAAAGTTTTAGGAGAGGAATGAGAATTCATCTTTGTGAATTAAGTTTTAGGAGTGGATTGAGAGGTTATCTGAATGAGTGTATTCTTAGACTGGAAAGAAATTTTTTTTTTTCCAATAACTTAAGTTTGTCGGTATATTTGAAAAAAAAATGGATTGTTTGCACTTTTTTATAATTCTTTAAAAATAAAATTATTTCAAGTGAATGTTGTAAATAATGAAGTCATAACGTGATAAAAAATGTTAAAATATAAATTTGAAAGGTCATATTATAAATACAGAATTATATTGTGAAGAAAGTGTTTAGAAAGGAAGCAAATGGATGGACTCACTGTTGCATATTGTAGCTCAGTAAACTGGAAGTGATGAAACAAACCCATTTTCTGGGCCAAGATGCTGTTCAGCACAAAGGAACGCGCGTTGTTCCACTCTATTAGCCTTTTGGTTGTTTTTTCTATGGAGAACTGCTGCTCATTGGACCAGTTGTACAATAATAGAGACAGCTGAAATATATTGTGTTAGTTAAACAAAAAATATTTGGATAATGTTTGTTTACATCTGATGAATCAAGTCTTGGTTGAGCCATGCTCACATAATTTGTCCTTTACCTCTTTTTTCTCACACGTAATGATAATCAGCCTCTGCCTGGGTACAAAGTCCTTCTCAGCAGACTTCAGGTTGCCTGGCTCACTGACCTTACTGTCTGTGTCTGGCATCTGGAGCTGGAACTTCTGGTTCATTCTGTAGCCTGAAACAGTAGGGTGACCTTAGGTCAATACAAGATGGGACACACATTGTACAGCTCACTGAAACAAGTTCTATGGCTGTTGTCAGCATATGTGGGGGTGGTGGTGTGGCCAACATATGTGTGGGTGGTATGTGGCCAACATATCTGTGGGTGGTGGTGTGGCCAGCATATGTGTGGGTGGTGGTGTGGTCAGCATATGTGTGGGTGGTGGTGTGGCCAGCATATGTGTGGGTGGTGGTGTGGGCAGCATATGTGTGGGTGGTGGTGTGGTCAGCATATGTGTGGGTGGTGGTGTGGGCCACATATGTGGGGGTGATGGTGTGGCCAACATATGTGTGGGTGGTGGTGTGGGCAGCATATGTGTGGGTGGTGGTGTGGCCAGTGTATGTGTGGGTGGTGGTGTGGGCAGCATATGTGTGGGTGGTGGTGTGGCCAACATATGTGTGGGTGGTGGTGTGTCCAGCATATGTGTGGCTGTAGGTGTGGCCAGCATATGGTGGTGGTGTGGGCAGTATATGAACAGGTGGTGGTGGTGTGGCCAGTGTATGTGTGGGTGGTGGTGTGGGCAGCATATGTGTGGGTGGTGGTGTGGCCAACATATGTGTGGGTGGTGGTGTGTCCAGCATATGTGTGGCTGTAGGTGTGGCCAGCATATGGTGGTGGTGTGGGCAGTATATGAACAGGTGGTGGTGGTGTGTCCAGCATATGTGTGGGTGGTGGTGTGTCCAGCATATGTGTGGGTGGTGGTGTGGCCAACATATGTGTGGGTGGTGGTGTGGCCAACATATGTGTGGGTGGTGGTGTGGCCAACATATGTGTGGGTGGTGGTGTGTCCAGCATATGTGTGGGTGGTGGTGTGGCCAACATATGTGTGGGTGGTGGTGTGGCCAGTGTATGTGTGGGTGGTGGTGTGGGCAGCATATGTGTGGGTGGTGGTGTGGCCAACATATGTGTGGGTGGTGGTGTGTCCAGCATATGTGTGGCTGTAGGTGTGGCCAGCATATGGTGGTGGTGTGGGCAGTATATGAACAGGTGGTGGTGGTGTGGGCAGCATTGTGAGGGTGGTGGTGTGGCCAGTGTATGTGTGGGTGGTGGTGTGGGCAGCATATGTGTGGGTGGTGGTGTGGGCAGTATATAAACAGGTGGCAGTGTGGGCAGCATATATGCAGGTGGTGGTGTGAGCAGTATATGTGCAGCATATATGCGGGTAGTGGTGTGAGCAGTATATGTGCAGCATATATGCGGGTGGTGGTGTGGGCAGTATATGTGCAGCATATATGCGGGTGGTGGTGTGGGCAGTATATGTGCAGCATATATGCGGGTGGTGGTGTGGGCAGTATATGTGCAGCATATATGCGGGTGGTGGTGTGAGCAGTATATGTGCAGCATATATGTGGGTGGTGGTGTGGGCAGTATATAAACAGGTGGTGCTGTGGGCAGGACATTATGCTTATATTTGCTTTTTGGAGTCTCAAGATTTAATCAGAGTAAAAACACTACTGAAAAACCTCTATGGATGTGTACAATTGACAACAAAAAAAAATAAACCTTTTAATGCTGAGCTGGAAATGTTGGGAATCATATCCTGATGTTCCAGAACTGTGTCATGCCATTGGTCCATGCTTCGACCAATGGCTATCAGATTAACTTTACCACCATTGGCAGCCAAACTTTCCAGAACCCTGTTCATGTGGATATCCTGTAGGTGACAATACAGAATTTAAAAATTTAGATTGATATTATAGGCACCATTCAATTAGTATTTTTTTAAACTCATATTGCTAACTTGGTGACAATTCACATTAAAAAACATGATTCTATAAATGTTGACTCTTAAAACAGCTCTAAACCTAATACAATATTTTATATAGAGCATACAGTTCTAGCCTACATACATTACTGGATTTTACATAGAAGAAACAATTGTTTCACATATATATAGTTACCAGCAGCAGTGCCAAAATAAACAGATAATTTTAATAAAAATTATTTATTCTACAAGATTTTTATATTTAAAAGATGTTTGAAAGCCAATATATCAGAGTCAACTAAGATTATTTTTTAAGCTGTCCCAGAGCTAGTTATCCATATATCACACCAACAACACAGCCATAGACAATACAATTAATGTTGTCAGATATTTAACTTGAGTGACTTTAGCAACACAGAACAAACAGTTGACTGCGACTCACCCTTGGTGTCACTTTACATGGTGTGAAAAGAACACCATAAGGTGGCTGGGATGGTGTGCTGGTCTGGATGACCTTGAAAATCTTGAGGCTGGTGTCACTTGCTATAGAGGGAATGGACTGGTTCAGTTCTTTCATGACAAAGTCTATGGAGTACTTGGCCTGGAACTTTAACTTGCTGCTGTATACAGATGGGACACCTGCAACATCAGCTCACATTTCTTAAGTTGGTATGACACGTGACATTGGGGTAACAAGTTTACCTAAGCTACCACACAAGACATTGGGGTAACAAGTTTACCTAAGCTACCATGCATGACATTGGGATGACAAGTTTACCTCTACTATGACACCTGACATTGGGGTAACAAGTTTACCTAAGCTACCACACAAGACATTGGGGTAACAAGTTTACCTAAGCTACCACACAAGACATTGGGGTAACAAGTTTACCTAAGCTACCACACCTGACATTGGGGTAACAAGTTTACCTAAGCTACCACGCATGACATTGGGATGACAAGTTTACCTCTACTATGACACCTGACATTGGGGTAACATGTTTACCTAAGCTACCACACCTGACAATGGGGTAACAAGTTTACCTATCTACCACACAAGACATTGGGGTAACAAGTTTACCTAAGCTACCACACCTGACAATGGGGTAACAAGTTTACCTATCTACCACACAAGACATTGGGGTAACAAGTTTACCTAAGCTACCACACCTGACATTGGGGTAACAAGTTTACCTAAGCTACCACACAAGACATTGGGGTAACAAGTTTACCTAAGCTACCATACAAGACATTGGGGTAACAAGTTTACCTAAGCTACCAAACAAGACATTGGGGTAACAAGTTTACCTAAGCTACCACGCATGACATTGGGGTAACAAGTTTACCTAAGCTACCACACCTGACATTGGGGTAACAAGTTTACCTAAGCTACCACACAAGACATTGGGGTAACAAGTTTACCTAAGCTACCACGCATGACATTGGGGTAACAAGTTTACCTAAGCTACCACACCTGACATTGGGGTAACAGAAGTTTACCTAAGCTACCACACAAGACATTGGGGTAACAAGTTTACCTAAGCTACCACACAAGACATTGGGGTAACAAGTTTACCTAAGCTACCACACATGACATTGGGGTAACAAGTTTACCTAAGCTACCATATAAGACATTGGGGTAACAAGTTTACCTAAGCTACCACGCATGACATTGGGATGACAAGTTTACCTCTACTATGACACCTGACATTGGGGTAACATGTTTACCTAAGCTACCACACAAGACATTGGGGTAACAAGTTTACCTAAGCTACCACACAAGACATTGGGGTAACAAGTTTACCTAAGCTACCATGCATGACATTGGGATGACAAGTTTACCTCTACTATGACACCTGACATTGGGGTAACATGTTTACCTATGCTACCACACCTGACATTGGGGTAACATGTTTACCTAAGCTACCACACAAGACATTGAGGTAACAAGTTTACCTAAGCTACCACACAAGACATTGGGGTAACAAGTTTACCTAAGCTACCACACAAGACATTGGGGTAACAAGTTTACCTAAGCTACCACACCTGACATTGGGGTAACAAGTTTACCTAAGCTACCACACAAGACATTGGGGTAACAAGTTTACCTAAGCTACCACACAAGACATTGGGGTAACAAGTTTACCTAAGCTACCACACAAGACATTGGGGTAACAAGTTTACCTAAGCTACCAAACAAGACATTGGGGTAACAAGTTTACCTAAGCTACCACACAAGACATTGGGGTAACAAGTTTACCTAAGCTACCACACAAGACATTGGGGTAACAAGTTTACCTAAGTTACCACACAAGACATTGGGGTAAGTTTACCTAAGCTACCACACAAGACATTGGGGTAACAAGTTTACCTAAGCTACCACACAAGACATTGGGGTAACAAGTTAACCTAAGTTACCACACAAGACATTGGGGTAACAAGTTTACCTAAGTTACCACACAAGACATTGGGGTAACAAGTTTACCTAAGCTACCACACAAGACATTGGGGTAACAAGTTTACCTAAGCTACCACACAAGACATTGGGGTAACAAGTTTACCTATACTATGACAAAACTCCATCCAAGGTTTGATGAGAGAGCAGAAGACGGGGTGAAGGTTCCCTTTCTCCCCACTCTCATACTTGGCCACAGGGGGTCTCATATCTGGCAGATCCTTGCCCCTGGCAGCTTGTGCAGCCCCTGGTGTCCGGGGGAGGGGGGACTGGTCAGTTGTTGCAGGAACTGTGTTGAAGTCCAGGCACTAAACCAATACAAAAATCAGAGGTAAGCTGCTTTAAGTCAACTTTCTGGCACTTGACATAAAACCTGGTCAGTCAGCAGTCTTTAAGTTGGCTTTACATTGAACCTGGCAAGTCAACATCTTAACTGACACTGGACATAAAACCTGGCCAGTCAGCAGTCTTTAAGTTGGCTTTACATTAAACCTGGCAAGTCAACGTTTTAACTGACACTTGACATAAAACCTGGCCAGTCAGCTGTCTTTAAGTTGGCTTTACATTAAACCTGGCAAGTCAACGTTTTAACTGACACTGGACATTAAACCTGGAAGTCAGCAGTCTTTAAGTTGGCTTTACATTAAACCTGGAAGTCAGCAGTCTTTAAGTTGGCTTTACATTAAACCTGGAAGTCAGCAGTCTTTAAGTTGGCTTTACATTAAACCTGGAAGTCAGCAGTCTTTAAGTTGGCTTTACATTAAACCTGGAAGTCAGCAGTCTTTAAGTTGGCTTTACATTAAACCTGGAAGTCAGCAGTCTTTAAGTTGGCTTTACATTAAACCTGGAAGTCAGCAGTCTTTAAGTTGGCTTTACATTAAACCTGGAAGTCAGCAGTCTTTAAGTTGGCTTTACATTAAACCTGGAAGTCAGCAGTCTTTAAGTTGGCTTTACATTAAACCTGGAAGTCAGCAGTCTTTAAGTTGGCTTTACATTAAACCTGGAAGTCAGCAGTCTTTAAGTTGGCTTTACATTAAACCTGGAAGTCAGCAGTCTTTAAGTTGGCTTTACATTAAACCTGGCAAGTCAACGTTTTAACTGACACTTGACATAAAACCTGGAAGTCAGCAGTCTTTAAGTTGGCTTTACATTAAACCTGGAAGTCAGCAGTCTTTAAGTTGGCTTTACATTAAACCTGGCAAGTCAACGTTTTAACTGACACTTGACATAAAACCTGGCCAGTCAGCTGTCTTTAAGTTGGCTTTACATTAAACCTGGAAGTCAGCAGTCTTTAAGTTGGCTTTACATTAAACCTGGCAAGTCAGCAGTCTTTAAGTTGGCTTTACATTAAACCTGGCCAGTCCATAGTCTTTAAGTTGGCTTTACATTAAACTTGGTCAGTCAGCAGTCTTTAAGTTGGCTTTACATTAAACTTGGTCAGTCAGCAGTCTTTAAGTTGGCTTTACATTAAACCTGGCCAGTCCTTAGTCTTTAAGTTGGCTTTACATTAAACCTCGCAAGTCAACTTCTTAACTGACACTGGACATAAAACCTGGCCAGAGGCTTACCTTCCCTACAATCTCTTGATGCTTGTGCTCAGGGAATGAAGAAAACATGGAGATGGAATGTGTGACACTGCGTGGTGGGTCCACAGAAAGCTTGCGTGACAGGGGGTTGTGCTTCCTCTCTAGACTTTCAGCTGTGTACAGGAAAACAATGGCATTTAGCATGTGGACAAATGTAGCTTCAGAAGGTTAACAACTCTCTTGTTTTGGTAATTGGGTAACGGTTACTCACCTGGTAATTTGGTAATGGTGACTCACCTGGTAATTTGGTTGGTGACTCACCTGGAAATTTGGTAATGGTGACTCACCTGGTAATTTGGTAATGGTGACTCACTAGTTATTTGGTAATGATGACTCACCTGGTAATTTGGTAATGGAGACTCACTAGTTATTTGGTAATGGTGACTCACCTGATAATTTGGTAATGGTGACTCACCTGGTAATTTGGTAATGGTGACTCACCTGGTAATTTGGTTGGTGAAGCAGGGAGAGAGGAGACAGGTGGGGCACACACGTCCATCAGGTTCTTAGGCACAGAGCAGATAGGGGAGGTAAGCATGAAATACTCCATGACTATGTCACACAGCGCATGACGTACTGCTGCGATCAAGCGCTCACGAAGAACTTTAACATCAGAGTTGCCACACTCCCAGATCCTGAACTGTATCAGTGCTGTTGGTCCTAAAGAATACACACAGCCACTGATGCATCAAGACTCCAACAACCCAGACTAAAACATTGTTTCCTGTGGAGATTTACTTTTACAAAACACAATTATCAGAAGCCTAAACACTTCATTCAACAAGTTAACATCAACAAGATCATCTTTTGTGGTGTTATCTGTAAACATTTAGAACAGTGTACCAACAGACACATTGATTTTGTGGAGCTAACTGTGAGGTGAATTAGTGCCATAAAGAGAGGACAACTGATCCCATCTGGCTGTACTGTTCTGACTTTTTGTACCTTTGTCTTCTTATGGCCCTGAAATCTGAATTGATCTAAGATTGCTGTATCAGCCACAATTAGGCTTCTACCCCTCTCACACCTCATAAACCAGGTGTGATACAATCATTTCCTCCTGCCCTTACCTGGATGAACCAGGTGTGATACAATCATTTCCTCCTGCCCTTACCTGGATGAACCAGGTGTGATACAATCATTTCCTCCTGCCCTTACCTGGATGAACCAGGTGTGATACAATCATTTCCTCCTGCCCTTACCTGGATGAACCAGGTGTGATACAATCATTTCCCCCTGCCCTTACCTGGTCTGGATGAGGCTGACTTCTCATGGACTGTAGTCTGGACATATTTGTCAAATTCACTGGGGTCACTGAGAGAGGGCATGTTGTTCTTGGTTGGAGCTGGACAGTTGAGCAGCTTGACCTGTTTCCCCTGACCATCCACAAGGTTCACCGTGATGCATGCAAGGCCTGGGCAGTGGCAAAATAAGACAATAAATAAAAAGCTGGCTATTGTGATACTGTATTTAAGACCACTAGCAAAACATAAGTGATACTGTATTTAAGACCACTAGCAAAACATATGTGATACTGTATTTAAGACCACTAGCAAAACATTAGTGATACTGTATTTAAGACCACTAGCAAAACATTAGTGATACTGTATTTAAGACCACTAGCAACACATTAGTGATACTGTATTTAAGACCACTAGCAAAACATTTGTGTTACTGTATTTAAGACCTCTATCAAAACATTAGTGTTACTGTATTTAAGACCTCTATTAAAACATTTGTGATACTGTATTTAAGACCTCTATCAAAACATTAGTGTTACTGTATTTAAGACCTCTATCAAAACATTAGTGTTACTGTATTTAAGACCTCTATTAAAACATTAGTGTTACTGTATTTAAGACCTCTATTAAAACATTAGTGTTACTGTATTTAAGACCTCTATTAAAACATTAGTGTTACTGTATTTAAGACCTCAAACAAAACATTAGTGTTACTGTATTAAAGACCTCTAGCAAAACATTAGTGTTACTGTGTTTAAGACCTCTAGCATGTGTGCTACACAAAAACACTGAATGAGAAAGAAAAACAAAAACCTTTTCCTCCTCCAGGCTGGGGTCTGATGTACAGATAAACTTTGTCTGAGGGGATGGGGGCCCACACACCATCATACAGATCCTGTTAGAGAACATTTATAGGCCATTTACATTGCTCTACAGCAGGTACACAGGACAGGTAGGTAGGTGGGACATTTATTCTAGAGTAGAAACATGGGATACATGGGAAATCCTAGAGTTCTCTCACCTGAAACTGACATGTAGGGTGTAGATCAACATAATTTGGGACATTGAGAAACTGCAGCAAGTTCTGCTTGAGGTAGTACATTAAAGCCACCAGGTACATAGAGCAGTGTCCAGGGATGGTCAAGAGCAGAGTGTCCACTGGTGGATGGTGAGGTTTCTGGATGAACTGGGGACAGATGGCGCAGGTGATGTTAATGCTAACACAAGATGGTCTATTGCAATCTTTGCACCACGGCCGACCTGATTAGAACAGTAAAACCCCCAGAAGACAGCCTTAACTAAACTCACTGTGATATCATCTGGCTTCAGTTTACTCTGTGGGTTTCTGCCAAACATGGCTGTCAAGTTGTCCAATAGTGCGTCATCTAGTTTGTTTTGAAGCATTTTCATCAGGTCATCCTTGATTTCTTTTCCTGAAAATGCCAGCCATTAAACATGTTTAGATGCTCAACAAATGCAAGGATATAGCAGGGAGTTCAGTATTTTTACAGAATACCATGCACTTTTGTCCAGTAGCCTTTTAGAATTTGTTCTAGTTATTGACCTACTGACCTACATCCTCAATCCCATGGACTGTGATCTCTACAGCTTCCTCATATTTAGAAGATTGGCGGCCTAAACTTGAGGTCAAGGACACAGAGTCACTATCCCCTTTATTCTGCTAGTAAAATTAACAAACTAGACATTATATGTTTAAGTGTAGATAGGCTAGCTTTTTTTACGAGTTATTTTACAATGATCTTCAAACTATAAAAAGCTAATAACACTAAAATATTATAAGCTAACACTAAAATATTATAAGCTAACACTAAAATATTATAAGCTAACACTAAAATATTAAAAGCTAACACTAAAATATTATAAGCTAACACTAAAATATTAAAAGCTACTATTATTTAAAATCATCAGTTGTTGATACAAACAATAAAGGAAAAAACTTTTTGAAGTAAAATCCAACCTGTCTGATGGAGGACATTTGATTGAAGTCTGAGACTGAACTGTCAGGCTCTATGTCAGAATCTTGGGCCACTTGAATCTCTTTCAGCCTACACGAAAAGATTTTTATTTTATTTTACAGTAATGAGATATTTTTTTGACAGATTAGAAAATGTTAGGGATGACTGGAACATATTGTTACAGGTAAGTGGAAATGTGTTACAGGTAATTTAAAATTTGTTACATGTAAGTGGAAATTTCTTACAGGTAATTTAAAATGTGTTACAGGTATGTGGAAATGTGTTACAGGTATGTGGAAATGTGTTAAGGTAAGTGGAAATGTGTTATAGGTAAGTGGAAATTTGTTACAGGTAAGTGGAAATGTTACAGGTAAGTGGAAGTTTGTTACAGGTAAGTGGAAGTTTGTTACAGGTAAGTGGAAATTTCTTACAGGTAATTTAAAATGTGTTACAGGTAAGTAGAAATTAGTTACAGGTAAGTGGAAATTTGTTACAGGTGACTGTCAAATGTTACCGGTGACTTGTACATGTTACAGATGAGAGAAGTTTACCTGAGGTAAAAGACATTCCTGGAGGAGAGCTCCTCTATGACGAACATGTTTTTCCTGTTGGTCACAAGGAAGTTGTTGAGGACTTGTCTGAGTGCCAGAACACCATTGGACGGCAGGCCTGGACGCTGGACACACCTCAGTCTGGGGGGTAGGACAAAATGGCTCTGCCACACCACATCGCAGGCAAAGTAGCCGGGACCAAAGTCCATGGCTGCTGCTAGGTAACCTTGACCTTCCTCACTATCATCATCATCATCAATGTCATAGCCTTAAGTAAAAATAATTCAAACAAAATTGTCAGTAAGTTAAAAAAGTTGTTAAAGTCAGACCTAAAAATTCTAGACACTTCCTTGGATTTGTGGATCAAATTTTATTAGAACAGTTACATATTACAAGACAAGTTCTAAACACTTCCTTAGCTTTATGAATACAATTTTTTTAAACATACCATCAGCTTTAGTCAGTCCTGACTTAGTTGCCTTACTGGCCCAGTTAATATCTTCATCAGCCTCAGGAACTAACAAGGCGTTACACACTTTACTTTTGTTTAGTTCTTTTAACAGCAGTGCCTGTTAACAACAAACAATTTGTTTAATAGAGTTTTTACTAACAAGCCCAAATGGCATCAAATAGGTAAATGCTAACACCAGAAATCTGGCAAGCTGTAAGCTGACTTTTGCTATTACCTGGTTGACTTTACGACACACTGAGTCAATGTTTTCTATAGCGGTGGAGTAAATGTTCTGTTGGTCAGTGGGCGGGGCATCTTCCATGATTTCTCTGTGGACATATGTGAAGACATTTTACATTCATCACTTGCTTACATTATTACACATTTTACATTCATCACTTGCTTACATTAATACACATTTTACATTCATCACTTTGTTACATTAATACACATTTTACATTTATTACTTTCTTACATTAATACACACTTAACATTCATCACTTTCTTACATTAATACACATTTTATTTCTATCAGTTTGAACTATTATTATCCATTTTACATTCATTTATTAAAATCTCCATTTTTTACATTATTTTACACATATCTGATCTTAAGTGCTAACAAAAATAGTTACTATTCATTTAAACTTTAAACATTTATAAACTTAAACAATACTAAACATGAAGGCATGCATGAGTAAGTGTTTGTATCAAGAACTGACCTGGAGTGGAAAAAGACCTCAGCCTTGTCAGCATGTATCTGTACAAGTAGCCAGTAGTCAGGCAGCTCTGGGTAGGAGCTACTGATGTCAGACATTGAGGCTGTCTCATCTAGCTCCATGTCACTCACATCACCATCAAAACCTGGACATAGAATCTGGTCACCATGGTACACAAAGCTTTACACATACAACAACTATGTCACCACAAGTATGCTGATATTCAAGCAGAAAGAAACCAACCATCATCTGTTGTGGACTCCCTAGAAGAAATGACAGAAGGTGACTGTGGGAGAGTGGAAGGACGGCTGCCAACACTCAAGGGTCCTGATGGGGCGGAGCAGTGACGGCTCCTAGAGCTGCTGGCTGTATTAGCAGGTGAACGACCATGGGATCCATGTAAGCCAGCAAAACTACTGGACTTTTTAAGGCTGAAACAGAGACATTACTATATGCATCTCACCCTCAACTTTGCATTCAAAATATAATTGAAACATGTTATAGGCTAAAATATAGACATATTTGTAGTTGTATAAAATGTTTCAACTTTAAATTGTATTTTTTTAATGCATTGAAAAGTTAATTTATCAGAAGCTAAAAGAGTAATGTACCATATTTCTGAATCCTTATCTTCTTCTTTGATTCTCAAATCCTGAATGGCAAGAAGTGGACCAGTCAAGAGTGAAGCAGCTATGAGCTGACCAGGAGAACTGCTCTCAGACAGGGACGGCCCAACTTTGATACCACTGGCCTGGCTTTGTAGCCGGGGATGGGACTTGGTGTCTGATGCACTGCGTGGCCTGTGTCTGGTGTCCCCAGAGGTCTCAGTGTCCTCCATGTTGATCAGAGACTGCGTCCCCACGGGAAGGTTCAGCTGGTCGCCTGGCTCAGGGAAGACACAAGGCAGGCTAAAACTCCTCTCTTCCTTACACATGGCCATGTTTTCATTCTCTGGGCCATGGGCTATCTCAAACTGCTGATACCTCATCTGGTGGGCCATGGCTTTGTTGACAATCAAGAAATAGTAACTTCCTTCTTTTGTTAGTCTGTAACCTTGAAAATGTGTTCTCTCAAATTCCTACAAGTTCACAGAAAAATGTTTTAACAACTAAAATAGTAAAACACCTTGTAGTACTGCCCTATGGTATAACTTGAGTATGCCCCTACCCACCTCAATGAACAAGTTAAGGCTCTGGTCTGCCCCATACACAAACTGGAGGTTGACACACTGGTACATGGCAGTCCTAGATTTCCACTGGACAGCAGTTCTGATGTAATCAGCCACAAAAATCAGGGTATCCGAGGTTATTGGGTGCATGTGACGCAAGGCAGAGATCACCTCCTCTTGCATTATGGACTCAATCTAGTACAAATTTGAATTTGCTGTCACTACATGATCTGGTCAACATTTTTTTATATCAACATAACACTGTAGACAATGACAAAAGTTGAAATCAGGTGGAACAAATAAAGTTACCTCATCCTTGACAGCATAGATGGCTGCATGCTGTACACGAGGAAGATGGCTGATAGGGTCACCCAGTGGTTTGGGAGTTCTGGGGAAAAAACACTGGACACTCAATACATGGGAAATGAGAGCTTAATAAATCATATCCTTGCAAACATTGGACCAAGAGACTTTCTTCTATTTCTATATCATCCAAACAATGAACCAAATCAAGGACAGTGGATGTGACTAACCCTATGACAGTGGATGTGACTAACCCTATGACAGTGGATGTGACTAACCCTATGATGGTGGATGTGACTAACCCTATGACAGTGGATGTGACTAACCCTATGACAGTGGATGTGACTAACCCTATGACAGTGGATGTGACTAACCCTATGACAGTGGATGTGACTAACCCTATGACTGTGGATGTGACTAACCCTATGACAGTGGATGTGACTAACCCTATGAAAGTGAATGTGACTAACCCTATGACAGTGGATGTGACTAACCCTATGAAAGTGAATGTGACTAACCCTATGACAGTGGATGTGACTAACCCTATGACAGTGGATGTAACTAACCCTATGACAGTGGATGTGACTAACCCTATGACTGTGGATGTGACTAACCCTAAGACAGTGGATGTGACTAACCCTATGACAGTGGATGTGACTAACCCTATGAAAGTGAATGTGACTAACCCTATGACAGTGGATGTGACTAACCCTATGACAGTGGATGTGACTAACCCTATGACAGTGGATGTGACTAACCCTATGACGGTGGATGTGACTAACCCTGTGACAGTGGATGTGACTAACCCTATGACAGTGGATGTGACTAACCCTATGACAGTGGATGTGACTAACTATATGACAGTGGATGTGACTAACCCTATGACAGTGGATGTGACTAACCCTATGAAAGTGAATGTGACTAACCCTATGACAGTGGATGTGACTAACCCTATGAAAGTGAATGTGACTAACCCTATGACAGTGGATGTGACTAACCCTATGACAGTGGATGTGACTAACCCTGTGACAGTGGATGTGACTAACCCTATGACGGTGGATGTGACTAACCCTATGACAGTGGATGTGACTAACCCTATGACAGTGGATGTGACTAACCCTATGACAGTGGATGTGACTAACCCTATGACAGTGGATGTGACTAACCCTATGACTGTGGATGTGACTAACCCTAAGACAGTGGATGTGACTAACCCTATGACAGTGGATGTGACTAACCCTATGAAAGTGAATGTGACTAACCCTATGACAGTGGATGTGACTAACCCTATGACAGTGGATGTGACTAACCCTATGACAGTGGATGTGACTAACCCTATGACGGTGGATGTGACTAACCCTGTGACAGTGGATGTGACTAACCCTATGACAGTGGATGTGACTAACCCTATGACAGTGGATGTGACTAACCCTATGACAGTGGATGTGACTAACCCTATGACAGTGGATGTGACTAACCCTATGACGGTGGATGTGACTAACCCTATGACAGTGGATGTGACTAACCCTATGACGGTGGATGTGACTAACCCTATGACGGTGGATGTGACTAACCTTATGACAGTGGATGTGACTAACCCTATGACAGTGGATGTGACTAACCCTATGACAGTGGATGTGACTAACCCTATGACGGTGGATGTGACTAACCCTATGACAGTGGATGTGACTAACCCTATGACTGTGGATGTGACTAACCCTATGACAGTGGATGTGACTAACCCTATGACAGTGGATGTGACTAACCCAATGACTGTGGATGTCCTATCTTCCAGCTCATCCCTTCCGGTCTGACTGCCCTGGCTCATGTTAGACAGCAGACGTGAATAGGACGGCCTGCGGGGCACATGATCTATATCCCCCAGCAGTGTCAGACAGTTGATGTCAAAGGTCACTTTAAAGTCGGAGAAGTCAATTGACAAAAATGGATCAGACAATCCTTTGGTGATTTGACCTGGATAAGAAAACGGAAAACTATCAGTTTAGATATTTTTCAAACTTTAACTACAAAGTATATCAAAATCACAAGGGTATTGACAGAAATGTTTAAAATATAAACAGAATAAATAAACAGTATGTCTGGGAATTATAAAGACTAAGAAATGTCAGTATGTTAGTGATAAATTGGCACAGAACTTATTGCTGTATTTTTCTAAACATGTTTAAGTTTCTAGGTTGCGACTACCAAAACTCACCAAAACATTGTGGTACAGTTCTCAGAGACATGTGATGGAAATTGGTCTTCTGTTTGACAGTGCAGGTGAAATGGATAAACAGGGGGATAGGATCCTGGTCCACAGACTCTGTGGATACATTGGCCTCAAACGATTCATTGGATGTGTCATCTGGATTAGATTCCATGGATGTTCCAACAGAGGTCTCACCCAACTCATCCGGTCTTGTTATGACAATGTCTTCCTCTTCATGAACATTGTCCATGTTTCCATCTGATCCAATGAACAAATACAATGTCGTTTTATGGCTTGTTTTTGTCACTTCACAAATGTGTAGTACAGTAACACTTAGTAGTAAATACATTAGTTCATTATCAAACAGCTCATTTTATCTTAATTATCTAACAACTGTTTTATTTTAATTTAATGAAAACAGCCAGGATAAAGGAGAACAAAACCATTAAAAGCAGGAGGGGAATGGGCTGCATGAATATTTAAATAAGAGAGTCTAGAAACTCAATCAATGAATATTTAAATAAGAGAGTCTAGAAACTCAATCAATGAAAATTTAAATAAGAGAGTCTAGAAGCTCAATCAATGAATATTTAAATAAGAGAGTCTAGAAGCTCAATCAATGAATATTTAAATAAGAGAGTCTAGAAACTCAATCAATGAATATTTAAATAAGAGAGTCTAGAAACTCAATGAATCTTAAAGTTAACTAACCACAAACAATAAACTTTTACCTTCTACACCATCTGATGCCTCGTCTTTCTCATTGTTACTGTTCTGGAGTTCAAAACAATAAGCAAGTGGTCAGTGTCAGTTTGATCAGCGAATTGGTCAGTTTAATCAAACAATTGTTCAGTGTAAATTTGATCAATATATTTGATCAGGCCAATGGCCTTGGTCAGTTTGATCATGTAATTGGTCAGTGTCAGTGAAATCAGGCAATATGACAGTGTCAATTTGATCAAGAAATTTTATTATAACTATTTTACTTCCCCTACGGCCAGACAAAATGACAACGCATTTTTCAATCACCACACTTTAAAAAAACATCTTTTTTAAATAATCACTTAGGTTATAAAAATAAAATAAAAGCATTATACACAAAACTGGTCCAAATTTATTATGAATGAGGTTAAATAGCTAAGTAGTTTACTAATAATTAATACAAAAATAACACTAATCCCAGAAAAATGTAAACAAAACAATACTTCTAATATTATTTTATTAAAAAAATGTATTTTAAATGCTAAAAATTTTTTAGCTTTGTCACTCAAGCTACTCTTTATTTCAATTGCTACATTATAAATAAAGCCCGATTCAACAGCAGAGGTATTTTAATTTCACTAATTATATAGTCCATAATTTTGAGATAAAAAATTCTTAACTTTAGAAAAAACTTAGAAAATGAAGCACAAGTGATAGAACGAGAAAACAACGTTAACAAAACATTATTTTCCGCTTCCGCCTATATTTTCAAAATCTCGTTACCAATGAAACTTGCGCTACTACGCGTAAACAAACGTTTTATATATAGTAGAGCAGGAGTACTGGACTGTACAACACACAAAAATTCTCTGGCGGCCGCGGGTGCATAGGCCTGTAAGGGTTAACATGAGTTTTATCATTTGACCTGTTTAAGGTTTTTAGAAGCAGGGACAAGAGGTCAAAGAAAAAATCTATGAAGTAGGCCCTACTTAAACTGATAAAACTTGAAAGTGCTGTAGATTTGTCTTACCTCTGTTTTTAATGAAATCACATTTGGACAATAAAAATAAAAATCTGGCAAGTTAGGCACTGGGCACAGGTAAGTATTAATGGCCTTGGCAAAATGGTTTTTGATGCTGTCAGTCAGCTGGTGGTTCTCCTTCATCTGATGACATGGCTCTTGTGACATGGAGGCCCACTCTTCTTCTGTCAGCTCCAGGGAGAGACTGGGCAGTTGGAGAACTTCAGGGATCTTTGGACCTTCATCTTCTCTAAAACACAGGGATAAAAACTTTTTTGTAGACTCTCATAGATGGGTTGCTGATGCCAGCTATTGAGCTTCATCTGCCCAGGGGTTCAAACTGGGTACTTTTTGGTTTAGCAACTATTAGCTTTACTGACCCAACCACACCACCTACTCCAAGTTCTGAAAACTCCTACATTAATAACAAGCAGTGAACCCTAACTTACTTCTGCAGATCCATGTCCTGGAACCTGACAGAAAGTTGCCTATGGTAGACTGGAGCGGTCCTGTTTTCATCATTGGCCCGACACTTCTCTTTGAACTTGGCCTTCTGCACCAGCTGCAGGACATGGGAGCAGGAAGCCAACAGGTAGGTCGTCATGTCTGTCTCCAGGGGGTGGGACTCAGCACAGATGTTGTTGATGGCTGAATCCACATCCTGTTTATCCACAAAATACTTCTGCTGCAAGCTAAGGAAAACACCTGGGATACCAAAACAAGAGTGTTGAGTAAAGGCTGCACCAATATTCTTGTATGTCACAACCACACAGACTAAAACAAGAGTGTTGAGTAAAAGCTGCACCAATATTCTTGTATGTCACAACCACACAGACTAAAACATTGTTCAGTAAAGGCTGCACCAATATTCTTGTATGTCACAACCACACAGACTAAAACAAGAATGTTCAGTAAAGGCTGCACCAATATTCTTGTATGTCACAACCACACAGACTAAAACAAGAATGTTGAGTAAAAGCTGCACCAATATATGTCTATGTCACAACCACAGAGACCAAAACAAGAATGTTCAGTAAAGGCTGCACCAATATTCTTGTATGTCACAACCACACAGACTAAAACAAGAATGTTCAGTAAAGGCTGCACCAATATTCTTGTATGTCACAACCACACAGACTAAAACTAGAGTGTTGAGTAAAGGCTGCACCAATATTCTTGTATGTCACAACCACACAGACTAAAACATTGTTCAGTAAAGGCTGCACCAATATTCTTGTATGTCACAACCACACAGACTAAAACATTGTTCAGTAAAGGCTGCACCAATATTCTTGTATGTCACAACCACACAGACTAAAACAAGAATGTTCAGTAAAGGCTGCACCAATATTCTTGTATGTCACAACCACACAGACTAAAACAAGAATGTTGAGTAAAAGCTGCACCAATATATGTCTATGTCACAACCACAGAGACCAAAACAAGAATGTTCAGTAAAGGCTGCACCAATATTCTTGTATGTCACAACCACAGAGACTAAAACAATGTTCAGTAAAGGCTGCACGAATATTCTTGTATGTCACAACCACTTAGACTAAATCTTATTGATTTCAATCACAACACCTTCAAATATTAAAGAACATTGAAAAGTATAGGAGACTTCATTAAGTGACTCCTACATGAACAAGTTCATGTATTTAAAAAATATGGAAGTATCCTTTAGATTTAGTAAGCTGCAACAGTCAAAAGAGCACTAGCTTTAATTGATTGGTATTTTACAGTAAGACAATTTGTTGATAGAGATTTTTTTATCCCCCTTGTAAGTTAATACCATAAAAAGTGGTTATCTAAAACTCACCAGGAGATAATATACATGGAAATATAATATGTAAATATATACTTTGTAAATATAATAGATGTGTAGTAAATGTTAACAGAAAACTATTCACGTAAGTCTTGACCTAATAAGACTGAGACCTTTACTACAACTTTACCTAATAAGACAGAGACCTTTACTAGAACTTTACCTGACAAAAAAGAATTGAAGTAAAGCTCAGAAAGGATTTTGCAGTGTTCTTTGAAAGAATCAAGTCTGTAGGAATTACTGTCTGTTGACCGGCGGTCAAGAGAACTTCTCCATGAATCTCTATCATCCTGGTCATCACTAGTGACATCAAATGACAGCAGCTGACCACGAGGTGAGCGCTGACATTTTGTGTCATCTGCTGGATGAAATGACAAGTTTTCAAAGATGTCCTCCGGAAGGTTGAAGTTTCCCCTGTAATTTAAAGTGTAATGTCATCACAAGTCTGGTACCAGCGCTTGGGGTAACAAAAATAACAGGTTTTAGTTCTTTATGTGAGATTGTAAATACAAAGATATTATTGTAGATAATATAGATCTCTATGTCAGGGCATAAAGTGTATCACCTGTTGACCAAGGAATTAGTGATGTTTTTCAAATGACAGCTGTAGACATAGACAGGCATCAACAGAGGTCCACTAATGGTGGCTTTCATGGCGTCTGTGTTTTTGTTCACCCACTGCTGGACCTAGACACACACACAAAACTTTATTATGTTGACCAACTGCAATTGGACCTACACACAGACTAAACTTTATTACGTTGACCATCTGCAATTGGACCTAGACACACACAAAACTTTATTATGTTGACCAACTGCAATTGGACCTACACACACACAAAACTTTATTATGTTGACCATCTGCAATTGGACCTAGACACACACAAAACTTTATTATGTTGACCATCTGCAATTGGACCTAGACACACACAAAACTTTATTATGTTGACCAACTGCAATTGGACCTAGACACACACAAAACTTTATTATGTTGACCATCTGCAATTGGACCTAGACACACACAAAACTTTATTATGTTGACCATCTGCAATTGGACCAAGACACACACAAAACTTTATTATGTTGACCATCTGCAATTGGACCAAGACACACACAAAACTTTATTATGTTGACCATCTGCAATTGGACCAAGACACACACTAAACTTTATTATGTTGACCAACTGCAATTGGACCTACACACACACTAAACTTTATTATGTTGACCATCTGCAATTGGACCAAGACACACACAAAACTTTATTATGTTGACCAACTGCAATTGGACCTACACACACACTAAACTTTATTATGTTGACACACATCAAGGGTCAAAACTTGTGAACAAAATTTCACCCACTTCCACTGAACAGTTTTGTTTCAAACCAGACAAGCAAGACAAGTCCCAATGACAATGCAAAATAACATAATTAGATGTTAAATATTAAATTTCTTTGTAATTAACCTTTTTAAGGCTATTACATACTATATGGTGGGCAAGTGTTATTGGTAATGAAATTTGAATTTATAAAAAATATTTTATAATAAAAACATCTGTAATAACAAGCTCTCATATATGCACTGTAATGAAGAAAAATGTTAACATAAAGAATAATGCACCAATATATATAAAAGTATTTAAATAAACAAGGCTGTATGATATCTCTGAGTCCATCCAGCTGTGATGGGTACCTGACTCATGTTAGGGATGTTAAGACTTAGTGCAAACCACACTGTACCTTCATTTGCCGAGATCAAGAAACACATGAACTCTACTTCATCTGCAGTGTCTTCATTTAGGGTCATAAGGTCTGAAAGGGGATCTATTTTTTTTCTTTACTTATTGAGAGCATAAAATAGTGACCCATGCTTTTCTTCATAATTGTATACATAGTGGTTTATATATTTAAAGAAAAATCATTTTGTTTTCTTCTTCTGTGCCTACATAAAAGCTTGTTGTTATAAATGTTAGAGAGCAACCTTTTCATTTCTTGTCTCCACATTGGGTGAGGCTGAGGACTTGTCTCCATCATCAGATACATGAGATTTCTCTGCCAAACTTTCTGGCCCTGTCAGCACATTTGGTTAACATTTGAAAACATTTCATTGGTATGTCATGTATGGCTATGTCAGCACAATTGGTTAACATTTGAAAACATTTCATTGGTATGTCATGTTTGGCTATGTCAGCACAATTGTTGCAATTTGAAAACATTTCATTGGTATGTCATGTATGGCCTATGTCGTGTAGAGCTATAAACCAAGTTTTGTCAAGCTACAAGATCTCACCTGGGCTGTCACTAGCTCCATCTCCAACCTTCTGATCAACCACATTTGTCTGGAAAAATCACATTAGGTTTTGTTGTGAAGCAGACATTATAACATCACAGACATTATAACATCACAGACATTATAGCATCACAGACATTATAGCATCACAGACATTATAGCATCACAGACATTATAGCATCACAGACATTATAACATCACAGACATTATAACATCACAGACATTATAGCATCACAGACATTATAACATCACAGACATTATAACATCACAGACATTATAGCATCACAGACATTATAGCATCACAGACATTATAACATAACAGACATTATAACATCACAGACATTATAACATCACAGACATTATAACATAACAGACATTATAACATCACAGACATTATAGCATCACAGACATTATAACATCACAGACATTATAACATCACAGACATTATAACATCACAGACATTATAGCATCACAGACATTATAACATCACAGACATTATAACATCACAGACATTATAACACCACAGACATTATAACATAACAGACATTATAACATAACAGACATTATAACATCACAGACATTATAACATCCCAGACATTATAACATCCCAGACATTATAACATCACAGACATTATAGCATCACAGACATTATAGCATCACAGACATTATAGCATCACAGACATTATAGCATAACAGACATTATAACATCACAGACATTATAACATCAAAGACATTATAGCATCACAGACATTATAACATCACAGACATTATAACATCACAGACATTATAACATCACAGACATTATAGCATCACAGACATTATAACATCACAGACATTATAACATCAATTACATTATAGCATCACAGACATTATAACATCACAGACATTATAACATCACAGACATTATAACATCACAGACAGTATAACACCACAGACATTATAACATCACAGACATTATAACATCACAGACATTATAACATCCCAGACATTATAACATCACAGACATTATAGCATCACAGACATTATAGCATAACAGACATTATAACATCACAGACATTATAACATCAAAGACATTATAGCATCACAGACATTATAACATCACAGACATTATAACATCACAGACATTATAACATCACAGACATTATAGCATCACAGACATTATAACATCACAGACATTATAACATCAAAGACATTATAGCATCACAGACATTATAACATCACAGACATTATAACATCACAGACATTATAACATCACAGACATTATAACATCACAGACATTATAACATCACAGACATTATAACATCACAGACATTATAACATCACAGACATTATAACATCACAGACATTATAACATCACAGACATTATAACATCACAGACATTATAACATCACAGGCATTATAACATCACAGACATTATAGCATCACAGACATTATAGCATCACAGACATTATAGCATAACAGACATTATAACATCACAGACATTATAACATCAAAGACATTATAGCATCACAGACATTATAACATCACAGACATTATAACATCAAAGACATTATAGCATCACAGACATTATAACATCACAGACATTATAACATCACAGACATTATAACATCACAGACATTATAACATCACAGACATTATAACATCACAGACATTATAACATCACAGACATTATAACATCACAGACATTATAGCATCACAGACATTATAGCATCACAGACATTATAACATCACAGACATTATAGCATCACAGACATTATAACATCACAGACATTATAACATCACAGACATTATAACATAACAGATATTATAACATCACAGACATTATAACATCACAGACATTATAACATCACAGACATTATAACATCACAGACATTATAACATCACAGGCATTATAACATCACAGACATTATAGCATCACAGACATTATAGCATCACAGACATTATAGCATAACAGACATTATAACATCACAGACATTATAGCATCACAGACATTATAGCATCACAGACATTATAACATCACAGACATTATAACATCAAAGACATTATAGCATCACAGACATTATAACATCACAGACATTATAACATCACAGACATTATAACATCACAGACATTATAACATCACAGACATTATAACATCACAGACATTATAACATCACAGACATTATAACATCACAGACATTATAGCATCACAGACATTATAGCATCACAGACATTATAACATCACAGACATTATAGCATCACAGACATTATAACATCACAGACATTATAACATCACAGACATTATAACATCACAGACATTATAGCATAACAGACATTATAACATCACAGACATTATAACATCACAGACATTATAGCATCACAGACATTATAACATCACAGACATTATGACATCACAGACATTATAACATCACAGACATTATAACATCACAGACCTTATAACATCACAGGCATTATAACATCACAGACATTATAACATCACAGATATGATAACATCACAGACATTATAACATCACAGACATTATAACATCACAGACATTATAACATCACAGACATTATAGCATCACAGGCATTATAGCATCACACAAGTGAACTGATCAACATTAGGTTTTGTTGTGAAGCAGACAATATGTTTGACAGTTATGTTTTCAATATAAATTGCTTCTTTATTTTAAGTGACACAAAGTGAGGGGAAAGCTGCACGCAATGTTAGGTGGAGGGGGGGGGGGGCTGTACAAAACTACACATCACTGAGTACATCAGTGACTTGAAATTAACTTGTGTGTGAACTGACCTGTGCTAGCGTGGAGGGGGGGTGGGGGGGGGCTGTACAAAACTACACATCAATGCGTACATTGGTGACTAGAAATTAACTTGTGTGTCTAGAAATTAACTTGTGTGTGAACTGACCTGTGCTAGCGTGGGCTCATTGGCTTTTGTTGTCTCAGCATTCACAGGTGGGGGATTTAGCAGCAGCAAGTCATCAAAGCAGGCAGGTACAAAGGTCAAGAGTAGGTGTTCAGTGACATCTTTCTTTACATAGCACTTCCACATGGGGCAGTGGAAACATTCTGCTTGCTTCAAAGTTTCACCTGTAAACAATTGTTACAAGTATACACTGCTTGCTACTTCCACATGGGACAGTGGAAACATTCTGCTTGCTTCAAAGTTTCACCTGTAAACAATTGTTACAAGTATACACTGCTTGCTACTTCCACATGGGGCAGTGGAAACATTCTGCTTGCTTCAAAGTTTCACCTGTAAACAATTGTTACAAGTATACACTGCTTGCTACTTCCACATGGGGCAGTGGAAACATTCTGCTTGCTTCAAAGTTTCACCTGTAAACAATTGTTACAAGTATACACTGCTTGCTACTTCCACATGGGACAGTGGAAACATTCTGCTTGTTTCAAAGTTTCACCTGTAAACAATTGTTACAAGTATACACTGCTTGCTACTTCCACATGGGACAGTGGAAACATTCTGCTTGCTTCAAAGTTTCACCTGTAAACAATTGTTACAAGTATACACTGCTTGCTACTTCCACATGGGGCAGTGGAAACATTCTGCTTGCTTCAAAGTTTCACCTGTAAACAATTGTTACAAGTATACACTGCTTGCTACTTCCACATGGGGCAGTGGAAACATTCTGCTTGCTTCAAAGTTTCACCTGTAAACAATTGTTACAAGTATACACTGCTTGCTACTTCCACATGGGGCAGTGGAAACATTCTGCTTGCTTCAAAGTTTCACCTGTAAACAATTGTTACAAGTATACACTGCTTGCTACTTCCACATGGGACGGTGGAAACATTCTGCTTGCTTCAAAGTTTCACCTGTAAACAATTGTTACAAGTATACACTGCTTGCTACTTCCACATGGGACAGTGGAAACATTCTGCTTGCTTCAAAGTTTCACCTGTAAACAATTGTTACAAGTATACCCTGCTTGCTCCTTACAAATAAACTTAATATGCTTTGCTTGGGAAAACTTTCCACATTGACAGTATTGAACTGGCTGACTAGAAGAAGATTTCTCTGGTACAAAGATTCTGCACAACATGGCTATCCTAGTATATCAACACTCAGAAGGAAACTTGACTGACTGAACCTTACACATCATTTTCATATACAAACCTAGGACACACTGATACTTGTTTACTGAGGTATAAACATACATTTTAAATGAACTTGTGGATAGGGAGGATGGCGTGTATTGACTTCAGGCCTTTAGGGTTTTAAAAACCTAGTTGAGAGTGCTGAACCTACCTGGCCCACTTCCTGCTTGACTGTACCCATAGTCCACTGGAGGGGGGGAGAGAACATTGGTGGACAGCTTGCCATGTTTGCTGGGAGCTTCACTGCTCATTAGCCTTGGGTTCTCCACTTCCTTCTTTGGCGGCACTTTCCAACTTCCTGGTTCAAGGTTTTTTCTTGTGCTTGTAGAAGATGCATCGGTCATTTCATGGTCAGTTTCCTACCCATGATTAAAAATTGTTCCATGATTAAAACATAGTTACATGATGGATTATACGCAGAAACATTTTTATATAATTTATATCTTACTACTTACAACTTTTTTATTTTCTTCGCGCCACCCAATATACAATTATTTTATAGAGATAAGTAAAACTTGCCAACAATATTGTATATATTACGTATGAGTCAAATGTGCAACAATGTAACCAACCATTTTGTAAAGCCCTCCCACACAGCAGACCACTGGGTTTATCTCTTACTATCTAGCCAGTTGTGTGCTGATCAAAGATAGGTTTATTTCTTACTATCTAGCCAGTTGTGTGTTGATCAAAGATAGGTTTATTTCTTACTACCTAGCCAGTTGTGTGCTGATCAAAGATAGGTTTATTTCTTACTACCTAGCCAGTTGTGTGCTGATCAAAGATAGGTTTATTTCTTACTATCTAGCCAGTTGTGTGCTGCTCAAAGATAGGTTTATTTCTTACTATCTAGCCAGTTGTGTGCTGATCAAAGATAGGTTTATTTCTTACTATCTAGCCAGTTGTGTGCTGATCAAAGATAGGTTTATTTCTTACTATCTAGCCAGTTGTGTGCTGATCAAAGATAGGTTTATTTCTTACTATCTAGCCAGTTGTGTGCTGAACAAAGATAGGTTTATTTCTTACTATCTAGCCAGTTGTGTGCTGAACAAAGATAGGTTTATTTCTTACTATCTAGCCAGTTGTGTGCTGATCAAAGATAGGTTTATTTCTTACTATCTAGCCAGTTGTGTGCTGATCAAAGATAGGTTTATTTCTTACTATCTAGCCAGTTGTGTGCTGAACAAAGATAGGTTTATTTCTTACTATCTAGCCAGTTGTGTGCTGAACAAAGATAGGTTTATTTCTTACTATCTAGCCAGTTGTGTGCTGAACAAAGATAGGTTTATTTCTTACTATCTAGCCAGTTGTGTGCTGATCAAAGATAGGTTTATTTCTTACTATCTAGCCAGTTGTGTGCTGAACAAAGATAGGTTTATTTCTTACTATCTAGCCAGTTGTGTGCTGATCAAAGATAGGTTTATTTCTTACTATCTAGCCAGTTGTGTGCTGAACAAAGATAGGTTTATTTCTTACTATCTAGCCAGTTGTGTGCTGAACAAAGATAGGTTTATTTCTTACTATCTAGCCAGTTGTGTGCTGAACAAAGATAGGTTTATTTCTTACTATCTAGCCAGTTGTGTGCTGATCAAAGATAGGTTTATTTCTTACTATCTAGCCAGTTGTGTGCTGATCAAAGATAGGTTTATTTCTTACTATCTAGCCAGTTGTGTGTTGATCAAAGATAGGTTTATTTCTTACTATCTAGCCAGTTGTGTGCTGATCAAAGATAGGTTTATTTCTTACTATCTAGCCAGTTGTGTGCTGATCAAAGATAGGTTTATTTCTTACTATCTAGCCAGTTGTGTGCTGATCAAAGATAGGTTTATTTCTTACTATCTAGCCAGTTGTGTGTTGATCAAAGATAGGTTTATTTCTTACTATCTAGCCAGTTGTGTGCTGATCAAAGATAGGTTTATTTCTTACTATCTAGCCAGTTGTGTGCTGATCAAAGATAGGTTTATTTCTTACTATCTAGCCAGTTGTGTGTTGATCAAAGATAGGCTTATTTCTTACTATCTAGCCAGTTGTGTGCTGATCAAAGATAGGTTTATTTCTTACTATCTAGCCAGTTGTGTGTTGATCAAAGATAGGTTTATTTCTTACTACCTAGCCAGTTGTGTGCTGATCAAAGATAGGTTTATTTCTTACTACCTAGCCAGTTGTGTGCTGATCAAAGATAGGTTTATTTCTTACTATCTAGCCAGTTGTGTGCTGCTCAAAGATAGGTTTATTTCTTACTATCTAGCCAGTTGTGTGCTGATCAAAGATAGGTTTATTTCTTACTATCTAGCCAGTTGTGTGCTGATCAAAGATAGGTTTATTTCTTACTATCTAGCCAGTTGTGTGCTGATCAAAGATAGGTTTATTTCTTACTATCTAGCCAGTTGTGTGCTGATCAAAGATAGGTTTATTTCTTACTATCTAGCCAGTTGTGTGTTGATCAAAGATAGGTTTATTTCTTACTATCTAGCCAGTTGTGTGCTGATCAAAGATAGGTTTATTTCTTACTATCTAGCCAGTTGTGTGCTGAACAAAGATAGGTTTATTTCTTACTATCTAGCCAGTTGTGTGCTGATCAAAGATAGGTTTATTTCTTACTATCTAGCCAGTTGTGTGCTGAACAAAGATAGGTTTATTTCTTACTATCTAGCCAGTTGTGTGCTGAACAAAGATAGGTTTATTTCTTACTATCTAGCCAGTTGTGTGCTGAACAAAGATAGGTTTATTTCTTACTATCTAGCCAGTTGTGTGCTGATCAAAGATAGGTTTATTTCTTACTATCTAGCCAGTTGTGTGCTGATCAAAGATAGGTTTATTTCTTACTATCTAGCCAGTTGTGTGTTGATCAAAGATAGGTTTATTTCTTACTATCTAGCCAGTTGTGTGCTGATCAAAGATAGGTTTATTTCTTACTATCTAGCCAGTTGTGTGCTGATCAAAGATAGGTTTATTTCTTACTATCTAGCCAGTTGTGTGCTGATCAAAGATAGGTTTATTTCTTACTATCTAGCCAGTTGTGTGTTGATCAAAGATAGGTTTATTTCTTACTATCTAGCCAGTTGTGTGCTGATCAAAGATAGGTTTATTTCTTACTATCTAGCCAGTTGTGTGCTGATCAAAGATAGGTTTATTTCTTACTATCTAGCCAGTTGTGTGTTGATCAAAGATAGGCTTATTTCTTACTATCTAGCCAGTTGTGTGCTGATCAAAGATAGGTTTATTTCTTACTATCTAGCCAGTTGTGTGTTGATCAAAGATAGGTTTATTTCTTACTACCTAGCCAGTTGTGTGCTGATCAAAGATAGGTTTATTTCTTACTACCTAGCCAGTTGTGTGCTGATCAAAGATAGGTTTATTTCTTACTATCTAGCCAGTTGTGTGCTGCTCAAAGATAGGTTTATTTCTTACTATCTAGCCAGTTGTGTGCTGATCAAAGATAGGTTTATTTCTTACTATCTAGCCAGTTGTGTGCTGATCAAAGATAGGTTTATTTCTTACTATCTAGCCAGTTGTGTGCTGATCAAAGATAGGTTTATTTCTTACTATCTAGCCAGTTGTGTGCTGATCAAAGATAGGTTTATTTCTTACTATCTAGCCAGTTGTGTGCTGATCAAAGATAGGTTTATTTCTTACTATCTAGCCAGTTGTGTGCTGCTCAAAGATAGGTTTATTTCTTACTACCTAGCCAGTTGTGTGCTGATCAAAGATAGGTTTATTTCTTACTATCTAGCCAGTTGTGTGCTGATCAAAGATAGGTTTATTTCTTACTATCTAGCCAGTTGTGTGCTGATCAAAGATATAAAAAAACCCTTTTCCCCACTCACAGAAAAATTCCCAGGCTCAAAAGCAAAGTTGCCCTCAGCACAATGGGCTCCATCCAGTCTATAGGAGAATGGTACAGGATTTTTCTCATGGTCCCTTGGACGTTGTAACACATGCTCTAAAAATCTTTAGAAACAACATTGGGTTATACTCAAGGTTTATAATGGTGGACAAGTAAATCAACACATTAGACAACATTGGGTTATACTCAAGGTCTATAATGGTGGGCAAGTAAATCTACACATTAAACAACATTGGGTTATACTCAAGGTTTATAATGGGGGGCAAGTAAATCTACACATTAAACAACATTGGGTTATACTCAAGGTCTATAATGGTGGGCAAGTAAATCTACACATTAAACAACATTGGGTTATACTCAAGGTTTATAATGGTGGGCAAGTAAATCAACACATTAGACAAAAACATTTGTTTGGTTATACTCAAGGTCTATAATGGGGGGGCAAGTAAATCAACACACAATAGTGCATTAATTTCAGAGAATAATTTTTCTGCATCAATAAATTAACCAACATTTCTACTAAAGACTAAAATATGGTATTTATTTAGCAGTATCATAAGGGCCTATTAGATCTACCAAGTAGACATACTTAATAAATTTGTATTTGAATTATAAAAAGTGTAAAAACTGGTTTTTTCCATTTATGAAACAATTTTTTTTTAAATTACCTATTTATTGCAGATTTTAAATAAAGTTAATCTCAATTTCTTAATTAAGTAATCACTTTAACACATTGTATGTAAAGGTAAGTTGAAGAGAGATCAAACATCAGTGACTACATTAGGTGTTTAACGCACCTTTGCTCATTGGTGCGAGGTGCCACGACGTGGACACGTCATTCAATAATTTTAAAAATGTATAGACACCGCCCTCAACATCACCTTTACATTTATTTTTTTTTAAATTAAGATTTTTTTAAAAAGAAATTACTCAGTTTTCAAAAATAAAAGCTAAGTTTTTATGAATATAAACGAATTTCTGTTTAAAATTTTATGCTTAGAATAGTCAATTTATCAAATTCCAATTTACGCAGAATTTCCACTTGACAGTCTATAATATTAATACATTTTCTGACAAACAGCTTTCAGGCATTTGTCACATTCAGGCAAGTGTCCGTTTGGGAAAATGGCTCTGGGGGACAGCATCTGTTAGGAATTTGTTGTAAAAGTTTGGTGCTAGACTCACCTGTAACAGTCATCTATAGAGAGACCTGTAACAGTCCTCTGGACACCTGTAACAGACCTATGGACTCACCTGTAACAGTCCTCTGGACTCACCTGTAACAGTCCTCTGGACTCACCTGTAACAGTCCTATGGACTCACCTGTAATAGTCCTATGGACTCACCTGTAACAGTCCTATGGACTCACCTGTAACAGTCCTATGGACTCACCTGTAACAGTCCTATGGACTCACCTGTAACAGTCCTATGGACTCACCTGTAACAGTCCTATGGACTCACCTGTAACAGTCCTCTGGGCTCACCTGTAACAGACCTATGGACTCACCTGTAACAGTCCTCTGGACTCACCTGTAACAGTCCTATGGACTCACCTGTAACAGTCCTATGGACTCACCTGTAACAGTCCTCTAGACACCTGTAACAGTCCTCTGGACTCACCTGTAACAGTCCTCTGGACTCACCTGTAACAGACCTATGGACTCACCTGTAACAGTCCTCTGGGCTCACCTGTAACAGACCTATGGACTCACCTGTAACAGTCCTATGGACTCACCTGTAACAGTCCTATGGACTCACCTGTAACAGTCCTATGGACTCACCTGTAACAGTCCTCTGGACACCTGTAACAGTCCTCTGGACACCTGTAACAGTCCTCTGGACTCACCTGTAACAGTCCTATGGACTCACCTGTAACAGTCCTATGGACTCACCTGTAACAGTCCTCTGGACACCTGTAACAGTCCTATGGACTCACCTGTAACAGTCCTCTAGACACCTGTTACAGTCCTCTGGACACCTGTAACAGTCCTATGGACTCACCTGTAACAGTCCTATGGACTCACCTGTAACAGTCCTCTGGACTCACCTGTAACAGTCCTCTGGACTCACCTGTAACAGTCCTCTGGACACCTGTAACAGTCCTATGGACTCACCTGTAACAGTCCTCTAGACACCTGTAACAGTCCTCTGGACACCTGTAACAGTCCTATGGACTCACCTGTAACAGTCCTATGGACTCACCTGTAACAGTCCTATGGACTCACCTGTAATAGTCCTATGGACTCACCTGTAACAGTCCTATGGACTCACCTGTAATAGTCCTATGGACTCACCTGTAACAGTCCTCTGTAGAGAGCAGGATCTCATTATTGTGGGACTCCTTCAGCTTGTCATAGAACAAGGTCACCAGCAGCTCATTCGGCTCTTTAGGGTCAAGGACAACATCCTGGGAGACATTACTTGCTGTGGATTCAATTATAAGCTTGTTATACCCAGCTAAATACTTGTTATACCCAGCCTAAAACTTGTTATACCCAGCTAAATACTTGTCAGACTTGTTTTGAGGATTGGTTTTCATACACTCTACAAACTGGTCTTTTCTTCTTTATTCTAATTGCTAGGCAGCAGATGTTTGATTTTAGTTTTAAATGAGTTGATGTCCCCAGGAAAGAATCCTCTTTAGAGCTAGCGATCCATTGGGCAGATGGAGTAGAGTTTCTTGATCTCAGTATTTGAAGGGAATGTGTGGTAAGCACATGAGTTACGTACCCATCAGAGCTGGGTGGACTCAGGGACACTCTACTGACTTGGACCCAGATTCGAACTTGGGACTTTAGGGTTAGCAGCCTAGTGCGCTATTGTTTAGGCTATGCCGTCCCATTGTCTCCATCTAGCTGGGCCTTAACTCAGGACTTTTAAAATTATCAATCACCTTCCCTCCCACAAGAAAGAGACAGGCTCTGCCTGTAATAAACAGCTACTAGTTGTGACTTACCATCCCCAATGATGAAGGTAGAAAAGAGCAGCTCTGCCTGTAATAAACAGCTACTAGCTGTGACTTACCATCCCCAATGATGAAGGTAGAAAAGAGCAGCTCTGCCTGTAATAAACAGCTACTAGCTGTGACTTACCATCCCCAATGATGAAGGTAGAAAAGAGCAGCTCTGCCTGTAATAAACAGCTACTAGCTGTGACTTACCATCCCCAATGATGAAGGTAGAAAAGAGCAGCTCTGCCTGTAACAAACAGCTACTAGTTGTGACTTACCATCCCCAATGATGAAGGTAGAAAAGAGGCAGGCTCTGCCTGTAATAAACAGCTACTAGTTGTGACTTACCATCACCAATGATGAAGGTAGAAAAGAGGCAGGCTCTGCCTGTAATAAACAGCTACTAGTTGTAACTTACCATCACCAATGATGAAGGTAGAAAAGAGCAACTCTGCCTGCTGGCTTCTTGGTAGGATAGACTGAAGGTCAAATGGGAATGAAATGAAATTGACTGTTGGCTCAGATCTGAAACTTTCCTCTCGTTTTTTGCTGTAAGGGTTGCCAGGTGTGGAGGGAGGGCTGTAGTTGAGAAAACAGCAACTAAACAACAGCACAAGTGTGGTTATCACTGCAACATGTTTTAAAATCAAATGAAAATTGACCAGACATTTGTTGGAAGGCTGGCAAGAGCCTGGTTCAAATTCTGATCAACTTTCATTTCAGATTATAAATAATCTTGTAAACTACCTCTTCATTTTAGAAAATTAATAATCTGGTGTGCTTTCATTTCAATTAAGATTGTAAATAATTTTAGAAAACTCAATTTCATTTAAAAGACATTTAATAAGCTCTGTGCTTTGACTTTAGGCAACCTGGGTCAGCGCTTTGACTTTAGGCAACCTGGGTCAGTGCTTTGACTTTAGGCAACCTGGATCAGTGCTTTGACTTTAGGCAACCTGGGTCAGTGCTTTGACTGCCTTAGATCTACAAGTAAACTGGTCAGTGCTGACCAAATGCCACAAACATTGCTGGCTGACAGTTAACTTACCTTGACTGCCTAGATGCCACAACATCAGGGCTAGGTATGGCACTGTTCTCACACAAGTAGACCAGGTGTTCAAAGGTGGTCAGGCTTGATACACACTCATAATCATAGGGATAGAACTGTAGAGTACATGACACACTCATAATCATAGGGATAAAACTGTAGAATACATGACACACTCATAATCATAGGGATAAAAACTGTAGAGTACATGACACACTCATAATCATAGGGATAGAACTGTAGAGTACATGACACACTTATAATCATAGGGATAAAAGTGTAGAGTACATGACTCAACAAATACAGTACATAACACAAGATGATAAAATCAGTAAGGGGAAATACCCCAAATATAAACTCAACAAAAGACGCCTGTGGGAGTTACCCCCCATATATTTAAAAACAGTATTACATTTAGACGTGCACTACATGACGTCAGTATTACGTGCATACCATATGAAGTCAGTATTACAGATGGACGTGTGTACCCCCATGGACTTGCGCACCCCCCCCCCCTTGACGTCAGTATTACTTATATATGTGTGTACTATATGACGTCAGTTTTACAGATGGACGTGTGTATTTCATGACCTCAGTATTACAGATGGACGTGTGTCACGCATGACGTCAGTGTTACAGATGGATGTTAGCACCCCATGACGTCAGTATTACACTTGGACTGATATCTAGCCCGTGTTTACCAACACAGTGACCTGTAACTGACTCGTGTACTGGTCAGAACATCTACAGACTTGGGTTGATAATCCCAATGTAAGAAAACCCTGTAGAAGAACACACAGACATAGTTTTGGTAACACTGGGTTTTTTACTTTCTCGTATACGAAGTATAGAGAAAGTATTGTAATCGTGCAAACAAAATTGCAAATTTTTTTTTTTTTTTTTTTTTTTTTGCAAATCTCGTCGGAAAAACACTGTTTTGCAATCTTGTCCGTATGTCTGTGTGTGTGTGTATGTTTGTGTGTGTATGTGTGTCTGTAAACTTGAGTACCGTTATAGCTAGGTTTATGAAATTTCATATAAAAGTATTATATCAAATTTGTAGATACGTATCAGCTTTTCAGCGATTTCCGATAATCGGAAGTGGAACTTATTCTACTTTCAATTTTTCAAAAGACTATAACTTAAGTACTATTTCAGATAGATAAATGAAATTTTACAGGTAAGTAAAATATCCAATTCTCTGCCTTCTGTCAAATTTTGAGTAATTTCCGTTGACCGGAAGTACTAGTTTACGCCATTTCCTATTTCTCAAAAAAACTCATGTGAATTTATAAAGTACTAATAATATTCCGCACTATTATACACATTTTGCTTGGCGTTCGCTTGGTGCGCAATTCTTTTTTCTACGAGATTCCATTCTATTTTTAAAAGATTAAGTAATTAAAATGCATGTCTATATCCCGAGTTGCAATTCCACGTAGTGTTATATAAAAATATTCGAGAAAGTTTAGGGTAGATCACTCCGGGTTTATTTTAGGACGGGGTCAATTCTTATTTACACAAGACATGTGTATTATGACACACAGACCTGGGGTAGAAAGTTTCCATTTCGTTTGACTGGATGGCATTATTCAGCTATATATCATGTATGACATACTCCGTGTACACGTCTCGCTTTCTGATAGGATTGTATTGAGCAAGGTACACAGACGCGGCTGTGTCGTTAAGCGATTTACTTGACTGAGGTCATTTCCGTTTGCTCTTGGCGGCCTGAGGATGCGGTGTAATTAAGTCATTAGCACTTCCACGTTTTACTAGTTGATTTGGCGCTAAATCCGCTTTGTGAGGTTATGCTCAGCATTTTTACTTTCTCGTGGACGAAGTATAGTGGAAGTATTGTAATCGTGAAATAAATCAATGTGTGAAAATCTCGATGTTTACACCTCCCTGAGTCGGAAAAAAAAATAGTTATGCAATTTTGTCCGTATGTCTGTGTTTGAGTGTGTCTGTGAACTGTTAAAGTTAGATTGATGAAATTTCATTTATAAGTTTTATATCAAATCAGATAGATAGACGAAATTTCAGATATAAGTAAACGATGTAATTCTCTGCATTCTGTCAAATTTTGAGTCATTTCCGTTTACCGGAAGTAATACTTAACGCTATTTCCAATTTCTCAAAAAAAAAAACGCATATGAATTTATAAAGTACTAATATTCCGCAACTATTATACACACATTGTTTGCTGTTCACTTGGTTCGCAATTCTTTTTTTCTACGAGATTCTATTGCATTTTTAAAAGTTTAAGTATTTAAATTTTTTATTAAAATTCATGTCTATATCTCGAGTTGCCATCCCCAGTAGTGTTATATAAGAATATTCGAGAAAGTTTAGGGGAGATCACTTCCGCGTTATTTCAAACTGTAACTTGTCTGTAGGTGTTCATTTTGATTTTGAGATTATTGAACACATTGACTATATATATGTGTGTATATATATATATATATATATATATATATATATATATATATATATATATATATATATATATATATATATATATATATATATATATATATATATATAAGTTTATAGATAGATAGCTACCCTATGTATAAATTGGTGGCGTCGGTAGTATAAACACTGATGGTGCCTGTTAACTGAACACACTAGGTGGTCGCTACATAAATGTGGTGTCTGTTTTAATAACGAGAAGGTGTCAGTTGAATATTGTTTGTATTGTTATTTAGTATTTTGTAACTTATTTTGTACAAGCACCCGTGGTGTCAATACCAATAAACACCAGTTGTGTCTATATCAATAAACACCAGTTGTGTCTATATCAATAAACACCAGTCGTGTCAATATCAATAAGCACCTGTTGTGTCTATATCAATGAACACCAGTTGTGTCTATATCAATAAACACCAGTTGTGTCTATATCAATAAACACCAGTTGTGTCAATATCAATGAACACCAGTTGTGTCAATATCAATAAACACCAGTTGTGTCTATATCAATAAACACCAGTTGTGTCTATATCAATAAGCACCTGTTGTGTCTATATCAATAAACACCAGTTGTGTCTATATCAATAAACACCAGTTGTGTCTATATCAATAAACACCAGTTGTGTCTATATCAATAAACACCAGTTGTCTATATCAATAAACACCAGTTGTGTCTATATCAATAAACACCAGTTGTGTCTATATCAATAAACACCAATGAGGTCTATGTCAATGGTTGGTCTTTCCAAGCTAGTAAAGATTGGTCGACATTATAGTTTGATAATTCCTTTACTTTATATAGTTTGTCTGTTATATATAATATTCCACATATAGTTGATCTGATACAAAGGCTATGCTAATAGTTTGCCTGATATAAATCCTACGCCCCATATAGCTAGTTGGCAAGTACCTTGAGTTATCTACCTTCAGTGATCCCTCCTTACAAATCCTTGACGTGGATAAGATCAAAGTACAGAGATAAAGTCTTGAAATGTGGTTTGGCAGGCCGGTTGATAAGTTTTCACAGACTGAGTAGTTGCTGTTTGAACAAGCTGAGATTGCGTGTTTATAAACCCCGTTTCTGCTCTATAGCAGCCTTTAGTGATGGTACTATAGCAGCCTTTAGCACTGACAGGGCACTATAGCAACCCTTAGTGCTGGCACTATGGCAACCCTTAGTGCTGTCACTATAGCAATCCTTAGTGGTGGCACTATAGCAGCCTTTAGCACTGGCAGGGCACTATAGCAGCCTTTAGTGCTGGTACTATAGCAGCCTTTAGTGCTGGCACTATGGCAACCCTTAGTGCTGGCACTATAGCAACCCTCAGTGGTGGCACTATAGCAAGCCTCAGTGGTGGCACTATAGCAACCCTCAGTGCTGGCACTATAGCAACCCTCAGTGCTGGCACTATGGCAACCCTCAGTGCTGGCACTATAGCAGCCTTTAGTGGTGGCACTATAGCAGCCTTTAGTGGTGGCACTATAGCAACCCTTAGTGCTGGAACTATAGTAAAGAAAATTTAGAATGTATGTGATTGTAATCTCTAACTAGTCCTTGGGAGGCAGCAGTATTTTTGAAGCCGTCCAATGATGAAGGGCAAAAGCGAATCACGTGACCCGCTTGCCCAAAGATAACTCAGCAGCTCTTGTCCTATCTGGTGAAGACCTGTGAGGACGGTCTCAAGCACTATCTGCAGGTGTATTATCTCAACGACCAGACACTATGCTATCACTGGAGAGACACAGTGGAGGTCAAGATGCGTCATCGGGCGATGGGGTCACAAGTCCACAAACCATCATCTTAGACGTTGAATCTAAATCTTATTCCGCTTGTTTTATTGCATTGATTGCTCATTTATTCAGAGCAAAATAGAAAGCAAGTGGTTTAAAAAGTTACAGAGGCAGTAGGCCCTATATTAAATAAATGGATCTGTCTAAAATGGGAGTGCAGCTAACAAAAATCTGGGCGACATTAAGCAGCCTGCAGCTAACTAAAATCTGGGCCACATAAATTAAGCAGCCTGCAGCTAACTAAAATCTGGGCCACATTAAGCAGCCTGCAGCTAACTAAAATCTGGGCCACATTAATTAAGCAGCCTGCAGCTAACTAAGATCTGGGCCACATTAAGCAGCCTGCAGCTAACTAAGATCTGGGCCACATTAAGCAGCCTGCAGCTAACTAAGACCTGGGCCACATTAAGCAGCCTGCAGCTAACTAAGATCTGGGCCACATTAAGCAGCCTGCAGCTAACTAAAATCTGGGCCACATAAATTAAGCAGCCTGCAGCTAACAAAAATCTGGGCCACATTAAGCAGCCTGCAGCTAACTAAGATCTGGGCCACATAAATTAAGCAGCCTGCAGCTAACTAAAATCTGGGCCAAATTAAGCAGCCTGCAGCTAACTAAAATCTGGGCCACATTAAGCAGCCTGCAGCTAACTAAAATCTGGTCCACATTAAGCAGCCTGCAGCTAACTAAAATCTGGGCCACATTAAGCAGCCTGCAGCTAACTAAAATCTGGGCCACATTAAGCAGCCTGCAGCTAACTAAAATCTGGGCCACATTAATGAAGCAGCCTGAAGCTAATTAAAATCTGGGCCACATTAAGCAGCCTGCAGCTAACTAAAATCTGGGCCACATTAA